GCCCTACCGAGAAGCCAGCCCCAATACCTACCAAGAACCCACCCCAAGCCCTACCAAGAACCCACCCGAAGCCGGACAGACACCCACCTGGAGCCCGAACAGTCACCCACCCGGAGCCCGACCAGTCAAACACCCGGAGCCCGCCAGTTTAGTAAACCGGAGCCCGCCAGTTGAGTGAACCGGAGCCCGCCAGTTGAGTGAACTGGAACCCGTCAGTTGAGTACCTGGAGCCTGCCCCGAGCCCTACCGAGAACCCACCCTGAGCCCGACCAAGAACCTACCCCGAGCCCTACAGAGGTTCCCCAAGCCCGAGAGCCTATCCCGATCCCGAAAGAGCCCACCCCGAGCCTAACCGGGAGCCAACCCCAAACCCTACCAAGAACCCACCCCCAAGCCCTACCAAGAACCTACCCCCAAGCCCTACCAAGAACCCAGCCCTAATACCTACCAAGAACCCACCCCAAGCCCTACCAAGAACCCACCCGAAGCTGGACAGACACCCACCTGGAGCCCGAACAGTCACCCACCCGGAGCCCGACCAGTCAAACACCCGGAGCCCGCCAGTTTAGTAAACCGGAGCCCGCCAGTTGAGTGAACCGGAGCCCGCCAGTTGAGTGAACTGGAACCCGTCAGTTGAGTACCTGGAGCCCGCCCCGAGCCCTACCGAGAACCCACCCTGAGCCCGACCAAGAACCTACCGAGCCCTACAGAGGTTCCCCAAGCCCGAGAGCCTATCCCGATCCCGAAAGAGCCCACCCCGAGCCCTACCGAGAACCCACCCCCCAAGACCTACCGAGAACCCACTCCCAAGCCCTACCGAGAACCCACCCCCCAAGCCCTACCAAAACCCACCCCCAAGCCCTACCAAGAACCCAGCCCTAATACCTACCAAGAACCCACCCCAAGCCCTACCAAGAACCCACCCGAAGCTGGACAGACACCCACCTGGAGCCCGAACAGTCACCCACCCGGAGCCCGACCAGTCAAACACCCGGAGCCCGCCAGTTTAGTAAACCGGAGCCCGCCAGTTGAGTGAACCGGAGCCCGCCAGTTGAGTGAACTGGAACCCGTCAGTTGAGTACCTGGAGCCCGCCCCGAGCCCTACCGAGAACCCACCTTGAGCCCGACCAAGAACCTACCCCGAGCCCTACAGAGGTTCCCCAAGCCCGAGAGCCTATCCCGATCCCAAAAGAGCCCACCCCGACCCCTACCGAGAACCCACCCCCCAAGCCCTACCGAGAACCCCCCCCCCCAAGACCTACCGAGAACCCACCCCCCCAAGCCCTACCGAGAACCCCCCCAAGCCCTACCGAGAACCCACCCCCCCAAGCCCTACCGAGAACCCACCCCCCCAAGCCCTACCGAGAACCCACCCCCCCAAGCCCTACCGAGAACCCACCCCCCCAAGCCCTACCGAGAACCCACCCCCCAAGCCCTACCGAGAACCCACCCCCCAAGCCCTACCGAGAACCCACCCCCCCCAAACCCTACCGAGAACCCACCCCCCAAGCCCTACCGAGAACCCACCCCCCAAGCCCTACCGAGAACCCAGCCCAAAGCCCTACCGAGAACCCAGCCCAAAGCCCTACCGAGAACCCAGCCCCAATACCTACCAAGAACCCACCCAAGCCCTACCAAGGACCCACCCGAAGCCGGACAGACACCCACCTGGAGCCCGAACAGTCACCCACCCGGAGCCCGACCAGTCAAACACCCGGAGCCCGCCAGTTTAGTAAACCGGAGCCCGCCAGTTGAGTGAACCGGAGCCCGCCAGTTGAGTGAACTGGAACCCGTCAGTTGAGTACCTGGAGCCTGCCCCGAGCCCTACCGAGAACCCACCCTGAGCCCGACCAAGAACCTACCCCGAGCCCTACAGAGGTTTCCCAAGCCCGAGAGCCTATCCCGATCCCGAAAGAGCCCACCCCGAGCCTGACCGGGAGCCAACCCCAAACCCTACCAAGAACCCACCCCCAAGCCCTACCAAGAACCCACCCCCAAGCCCTACCAAGAACCCACCCCCAAGCCCTACCAAGAACCCACCCCCAAGCCCTACCAAGAACCCACCCCCAAGCCCTACCAAGAACCCTGCCCTAATACCTACCAAGAACGCACCCCAAGCCCTACCAAGAACCCACCCGAAGCTGGACAGACACCCACCTGGAGCCCGAACAGTCACCCACCCGGAGCCCGACCAGTCAAACACCCGGAGCCCGCCAGTTTAGTAAACCGGAGCCCGCCAGTTGAGTGAACCGGAGCCCGCCAGTTGTGTGAACTGGAACCCGTCAGTTGAGTACCTGGAGCCCGCCCCGAGCCCGACCGAGAACCCACCCAGAGCCCTACCGAGAACCCACCCTGATCCCTACAGAGAACCCACCCCTAGTCCTACCATGAAAACACCCTGAGCCCTACAGAGAACCCACCCTGGGCCCGACCAAGAACCTACCCCGAGCCCTACAGAGGTACCCTAATCCCGAGAGCCCATCCCGAACCCGAAAGAGCCCACCCTGAGCCTGACCGGGAGCCAACCCTAAGTCCTACCAAGAACCCACCCCGAAGCCCAACCAAGAAAATACCCGAAGCCGGACAGACACCCACCTGGAGCCCGAACAGTCACCCACCCGGAGCCCGACCAGTCAAACACCCGGAGCCCGCCAGTTTAATAAACCGGAGCCCGCCAGTTGAGTGAACCGGAGCCCGCCAGTTGAGTGAACTGGAACCCGTCAGTTGAGTACCTGGAGCCCGCCCCGAGCCCTACCGAGAACCCACCCCGAGCCCTACCGAGAACCCACCCCGAGCCCTACAGAGAACCCAACCCCCCCGAGCCCTACCGAGAACCCACACCCCCCTGAGCCCTACCAAGAACCCACACCCCCCCCCGAGCCCTACCAAGAACCCACACCCCCCCGAGCCCTACCAAGAACCCACACCCCCCCGAGCCCTACCAAGAACCCACACCCCCCCAAGCCCTACCAAGAACCCACACCCCCCCCCCAAGCCCTACCAAGAACCCACACCCCCCCCAAGGCCTACCAAGAACCCCCCCCAAGTCCTACCAAGAACCCACACCCCCCCCAAGCCCTACCAAGAACCCACACCCCCCCAAGCCCTACCAAGAACCCACACCCCCCCAAGCCCTACCAAGAACCCACACCCCCCCCCAAGCCCTACCAAGAACCCACACCCCCCCAAGGCCTACCAAGAACCCCCCCCCAAGTCCTACCAAGAACCCACACCCCCCCAAGCCCTACCAAGAACCCACACCCCCCCCCAAGCCCTACCAAGAACCCACACCCCCCCCCAAGCCCTACCAAGAACCCACACCCCCCCAAGCCCTACCAAGAACCCACACCCCCCCAAGCCCTACCCCACACCCCCCCCCCAAGCCCTACCAAGAACCCACACCCCCCCCCCCCAAGCCCTACCAAGAACCCCCCTCCCCAAGCCCTACCAAGAACCCCCCCCCCAAGCCCTACCAAGAACCCACACCCCCCCCAGTCCTACCAAGAACCCACACCCCCCCCCCCCCCAAGTCCTACCAAGAACCCACACCCCCCCCCCCAAGTCCTACCAAGAACCCACACCCCCCAAGCCCTACCAAGAACCCACACCCCCCAAGCCCTACCAAGAACCCACACCCCCCCCAAGCCCTACCAAGTACCCACACCTCCCCAAGCCCTACCAAGAACCCACCCGAAGCCGGACAGACACCCACCTGGAGCCCGAACAGTCACCCACCCAGAGCCCGCCAGTTGAGTACCTAAAGCCTGCCCGGAGCCCCGACCGACAACCCACCCCGGAGCCCCGACCGACAACCCACCCCGGAGCCCCGACCGACAACCCACCCCGGAGCCCCGACCGACAACCCAGCCCGGAGCCCCGACCGACAACCCACCCCGGAGCCCCGACCGACAACCCACCCCGGAGCCCCGACCGACAACCCACCCCGGAGCCCCGACCGACAACCCACCCCGGAGCCCCGACCGACAACCCACCCCGGAGCCCCGACCGACAACCCACCCCGGAGCCCCGACCGACAACCCACCCCGGAGCCCCGACCGACAACCCACCCCGGAGCCCCGACCGACAACCCACCCCGGAGCCCCGACAGAGAACCCACTTGGGGCCCGACAGAGAACCCACTTGGGGCACGACAGAGAACCCACTTGGGGCCCGACAGAGAACCCACTTGGGGCCCGACAGAGAACCCACTTGGGGCCCGACAGAGAACCCACTTGGGGCCCGACAGAGAACCCACTTGGAGCCCGACAGAGAACCCACTTGGAGCCCGACAGAGAACCCACTTGGAGCCTGACAGAGAACCCACTTGGAGCCCGACAGAGAACCCACTTGGAGGCCTACAGAGAACCCACCCCGCGCCCAACCTTTCATGGAGAAAATTGAACACCAGGCGACAAAAATAATTGCAGAATGAGGTCTAGTTTCATACCATGAACGGTTGAGGGTCACAGGGCTAACAACACTGCAAACTAGGCATGCCAGGATGGATCTCACCGAAACTATTAAAATATCGACTTGAATCGACTTGAGAATGGTCCAGGACGGACCGAAACTCGTCGTCCCTTCAAATTCTAGTGTGTGGTCTGGTCAACATACTTCAGCCACGTTATTGTGACTCATCGCCTGCCTATTAAAATATTGAACAGTTTCGAAGATATGGATCCAGAGAACAACTTCAAAAGGTCAGATGGAACACAAACAAGGAACAACGGTTTCAAGTCCAACAAGCCGCAGTGTAGGACTGAAAACATAAGCTATATTTTCACCCACAGGGTTATAAACCCATGGAACCGCCTATCTGCTAAAGCAGTAAATAACAACACTTGAATTGTAAAATCCAATTTGAAAAAAAATCGGAACAAATGGGGGACCTGATCTGCTACCAGAAATTTTAGCCAATGCGAAACCCCATTATATTATATAATTCTATATACTGTGTATAAATAAGATATAAATATGTCAAAAAGAATTATCACTCTTACCTGGAGCAATGTTGCTGATGTCGGAAATCAGCAGTACATGTTGTCGCGTTGGCTGCAGCGACAGTACTGAGCAACTGAGCCTTCAACGACCAACCGCCGTTTGAACGCCATTTTGAAATTCCAGGCGTACTACCTGTAAGTGCGTAAACTAGTATTTGCGTGCATTATAGGCCATTCCAAGAAACCTTATTGCTATGAATATCTTGTTATCTAACAAACGAATTATTTATGTTAATATTTTTAGCACATATGTTAAATTAGGCCATTTTTCATTTAGAGGGGGTATATATATATATAGCTATTTACATTTTAAGTTTGAAAAATTACCGTACAAAATTAAATGCAAAGATAAGATAAGATTTATTTATACAACCCTGTTTGGAAATTAACTCCTTTTACAATGAAATAAGACGCAAATAAGACTGTAGCCTATGTCAAAGGAGTTCTCTTAGGAATAAACCTATCAAGTCTATCACATAGTGACTAATTATACATCATAATTCACTTACAATTATTCTTGATGTTTGAGCATTAAATATGAATTATTATTTTCTTTATACATATGTATTCTGGTTAGTGACAGATATGTGGTAGAGACGATAATAATAAATAACTGAAGAAGGTAGTTGGCAGCTGCGGGAGGGTGGAGGCAGAGGGCTGCTCCCCCCCACCTCAGTACACACTCCACCGCCATGGCCAACTGTTGGTCTATTGGCATCTTCTTGGTTATTTTCTTGGGCACATTTTGCATCTGGAACTGTATGACACGTGATGACCCGCCAGACACGTCCAACTGGTATGGGTGCAGAGACCAGAAGGGCAACCCGATTGACTCGTGAGTACCATAATGAGAGCCACACTTGACCCATCTCGTGACTCACTCACTCATCATAGGGTGTGTGGGCATGTTGCTGGAGATTGTCACCTGCAATTCGACTCAAAGGGTTTTTGTGGAAGGCAGGGGATTCAGGGGACGTTTTTTAGCCTAGGCCTATTGAGCATTGCCTGTGCACTATTTTGCTGTATTGTACCAAACAATCATCCTATGATTTACCAAAATTTTCCTGAGGACCACTACATATATCCAGTGTGGGAATTCTCACTCAGTCCCTCGACGAGGATGGAAGCCTGCGGCTTGTCATTTGAAAATGGTAGTACTTGGAGCATCTATTTCGTGTAACATACAAAACTCGACTGTTACTGCCGATAATGTTCAAGCTTTGTACTATTAAATTTGTAGTTATGAATACAAATGTAAAAATGTATATACTGCATTAATATGTCTTGAAATGCTTCCAGATTTGTAATATACAAGTTACCTCATGATAAACATGCAGAATTTGAGCCTCTGCGGAATGGAACGGCATACATGTATCTCACGCCAGAAACTGCAGCGAGGTAAACTATAGAGGTATTTTTGTTATGTGCAGTGTGTTTACATTGCCAGAAATGGTTGGACAAAATCTGATAAGTTGCATGTAATGTTGAACATACATCTTGCTTTATTTACATGTGATATTGTCATGTGACATTATGGTCTCATGATACAGTATTAATTACTGTTAATTTAATAATTAGTTATTATTAATAATTACAGTATTATTACTTATTAATTACAGCAAATAAAACCAAAAAGTACCTAATTTCATCTTCATAATTTCTACCATGGGTTTTATCTTCACACTGTATCTAGTGCTACTCAATCCCCCAAAATTTGTACCTAAGTCATATTACTTTACCATTGTAATCTTAGATATCATCTGATATCATGGTTGTTGAATTGAGTGCATTTTCTACTGCATTATTCCTTGAAACTTTTCCTCGAAATGATCCTCATATTGTGCTTCAGTGAGCCAATGTATAACCCTGAAATGTTATCCTCATGTACCTAGTGATCCTTGTTTCTTTATTGTGTATTGTTGTTATTGTGTATTATTCTGATCTGCTTTTGTCAAAATTTCTTCAAATTACCTGTAAACAATTTTTGTTGATTTTACTGTAATTATTCTACTTAAAATTATCTGTACCTGTAAAGATAAGCTGTAAAATACCTGCTAGCATTTTTTATCAATATACTGTTAATTTATCAAAAAAATTGTTAGTTTAAGGACTTGCCCAAAATGCTATGCATGCTAGTGGCTTTACAAGAATGTTAATTCAACTTATTTTCTATATTCTCTGCTAGCCCCCAATGTAACTTGTATATAGATACAGTATATATAAATAAATATTGTATACCCTATAGACTAGGCTATTGTATTTAAATATTCACAGCAAATTTGATGTAATGTCATGTAGAAATCATTTGCCAATTCGGTCTGAAGCACCATTGAACTACTATTAATTTGTGATCTAATACAGCTATTAGTTAATAGCTGCAGTTGCTGTTTATTGTTCATTATTAGGGCTAACAAATGTTATGCAGTATTGGCACAGTGAACAGGTCTTTTCTTGTTAGATATCTTTAAAAATTGTAAAATGAATTCTTGTGGATATATACAAGGTAACCTTACTTAAAAATATTGAACAGGAATATGGCATCTGCTTCACTGTCTTGGCTTAGCAGCTTGACTCAGTGATATCATTTCAATTTTTTGTTGACATTTCATAGAAATGTCAGCATATACTTCTACTTTATGTACAGAGAATGTCACAATAACATAGCTGAAAATTAATAACTTGACCCATACATATAAAAAGAAATGAAAGCATTATCATTTTGGTCCGACTTGATAAGAGTCTTGGATGGACCAAAAGGTTGTCACTTTCTTTTCATATGTGTGGGTTAGGTTACTTATATTTGTGCATATTCTTCAATGACTAGGTTAATGAATATAATTTTCCTGTTTTATAGGCTGCAGAGTGGAGGGGTATCCAGCGTTTTCAGTGAGTATCGTGATTCGGCCAGTGGTTGGGTGTTGAGTAATGTGAACATTGGTAGCGAGTTCTCCATGCCAGCACGAACACTCAGTAGACTGTATACAGATCAAGAGATAGTAAAGGTAAATGCTCTCGCTTACTGAATGTTTATTCAATGAAATTTGCTCTTTCTTGCAGGACAGGCAGTATCTAGACTCTAGGTTGTGTTTGTGTTATCTGTGATTGGCAAAAGTGCACTCCCCATTAATAGGATTTTATTTATATGACTTAAGAAGAGAATAAACAAGATAATTATTATTATGCCGAAACTGTCTGAATCACGCTGTAAAGGCATACAATTGTCATGTACAATACAATGTTTAAATCTTGTTCGTATTTGTGTGACAGTCAGTACCTAAGACCATTTTGTTTTGCTCTACTTAAAAAACAATTGTATTTCTGATTTGTATATACAGTACTGTATATAGGTACTGTACAGTATACTGTATACCAAATGACAACAGATAGACTTGGGTATACCTTGGCAAAGATAACACCAACATTGCAGTTGAAACAAGCATTAGATGTCTAGATAATTTTTCTCTCGTAATGATGTTGACAGCATTATATTGTTTTACTGTGTTCAGAAACACTAAAAGTGGTTCAGATACAATGAATACTCTAAACTTGGACCTTAGAGGTGCTTTGAAAATCCTGAAATGATTGATGATAATGAGAGAGATGAATTCAGGCAGTTATAGCTGACAGTTTCTGACTAGGGGAGGCTGTATAGTATTGTTATCCAAGCCTAACATACACAATACTGGTCTCCTCACATTAGGGGAAGTTGTATAGTATCATGTTATCCTAGCCTAACATACACAATACTGGTCTTTCACACTAGGGGAAGCTGTATAGTATCATGTTATCCTAGCCTAACACACAATACTGGTCTCCTCATACTTCTCTGTACATATACAGCTTGAAAGAGGATTGCAGGTATATTACATTAAAAATAAAATGAAAAGTGTAGTCTTGCCTACCATCACCCTCCACCTCAGAAGGATTGTGGACATCAGAGGGCATTATTACCCTCTGAAAGGGTAATAAGATTAAATAAGATTAATAGGATTCAAGGTGTGCTCTTGAGGCATTTCAGTGACCTTGGCATTATAAACATTGAGCATAATAGTTCAAGCTTTGGAATTGGATATACTGTATCTACAGTATCAACAATTTCTAGATTGTGCTGATAAAAAAGAAAGTTATAAGTTATGCCTGAAAATTAATTGAAGTCTATGTACCTTATAAATTGTGATAATTTGCTTCTACGAGTTGCACCTTCCTTCCCTAAAAATAATGAACTTAAAGATTTGCCTGAAGTTCTGTGTAGAATTTGGAGCCTTGCAAAAATATATTTAATTTTTAGCACATTTTATAAATAAATTAATAGTAGCTGTATTTACTGTGTGATTCTTGCAGATACTGTAGCTTGATATATCTGAGTAATTTATGGAAAATAGCAGAGTACAGTACTAGTATCTCATAATATACTGTTTACTTGTCCAACATATTTTCTGTTAGGGCTACAATATCCTGTACCTTTTTATTTGTCATATTTCTTGGTTATTTGTGTAATGGATCTAACTCATGTGTATTTGTATCATAACATAAATTTGTGCTCATTATGGTAGTTTTGGCCTCTCACATGTGCGTGTTATGTGGACATGTGTGTGATGTAATTACCTAAGTGAAGTTACAGGATGAGTTATGCTTGTGGTGTCCTCGTCTTCCCAGTACTGTCATACAACGTCTTGAAACTACTGACAGTTTTGGCCTCCAACATCTCACTTAACTTGTTCCAACCTGTTACCACTCTGTTTTCAAAAGTGAACTTTCTAATATTTTTTCGCAGCCTTTGTTTGAACCTATGTCTAATTGTTTTTGAAGTTACAGTTTCTAAGAAATCTTCTTGGCCAATTTGGTTGATTCCTGTTACTCTTTTTGTATGTAGTCATTATATCACCTCTTTATCTGCTATCTTCTAGCTTTGGTATATTTAACACCTCAAACCTCTCCTCATAGCTCATTTTTTCAATTCCTTGAGCCATTTAGTTGCTTGTCTTTGCATTTTTCCAGTTTACTGATGTGCTTCTTCAGATATGGGCACCATGCAATTGCTTCATATTCAAACTTTTGTCTCAAAAAGGTCATAATTTCTTTAATATTTCACCATCCATGTACAGTACTTAAAAGTTATTCTAAAGTTGCAAAGTGTAGCATATGCTTCTCTCATTGTTCCTTTTGTGATCCTCGGGTGACAGTTTTCTGTCTGGAACCGCCCCTAGATTGTTCTTTATCAAAATTCTTTAAAGCTTTTTCACATAATTTGTAGTTTGTGTGTACTGTAGTCTATTTTTTCCTATCCCACATTTCATAATGTGGCATTTATTCACATTACATTCCATTTGCCAAGTGTTTTACATATGCTTATTTTGTCTAGGTCTTCTCGAAAAGGGCATGACAATCATAAAAGTTTTTCTTTCTTAGTAGCTTGGCATCGTCAGCAAACATATTCATATAGTTCTGTACTCCTTCTGGTAGATCATTTATATAGAGAATGAACATTACTGGTGCTAGAACTGAACCCAGTGGTACTCCACTAGTAATGTGTGTGTTATGTGTACATGTTTGTGTTCAATGTAGGGGGTGATTTGTTTTATGACTGATGCAGAATGGCTTGCCACACTTCATATGACCAGTGTTTGTTTTCCACAGACTGCTGCATTCATAATGTATAATGATGAATTTCCGAATGGCACCAAATCATTCACAAAAGGCCACACAAAAGGCGTGGTAGTAATGACAGCTCAGGGAGGATTCTGGTTGGTCCATTCTGTGCCAAAATATCCTCCACCCCCAGAGGATGGATACACTTATCCTTCCTCTGCTGTTCGTTATGGCCAGACCATGTTGTGTATTAGTCTTTCTTCTGATCAATCTCATAGTTTGGGTAAGTGGTCTTTATCCTTGACTGTCAATGATACTATTTATCTACAACGTATGTGATTTACAGTATTTTTTTGACCATCATTCAGTTTTTGGTTTCCAGCAGTTAGTAATAGGGTGTCATTCTTTTATTTCTAGATTGATTGTGTTTATACTATAAAGGAATCCACTTTTGTCAAAGATAATTTGACACTTAACATAAGTTTATATTTATTGACCCGAAGTTTAAATGGTGTGTGGTACTGTTCTGTTACTGTTCAGTATTGCATATGCTAACTGTGAACACATGTACCCACTTGGGTCCTTAAAAGAACCATAGACGTCTTGCTCCTCAGTCCAGTTGTACTTGCAGAATTTTGTGCTTCTTACAGTGAGCTTTACCAGTTTTTGGAATTATATATAAACTCTGTATACACTATGCTTCCTAAGTAGTAACAGTCCTAAAGTAAGTGATAAGAAGGGAAAAACAATGTTTTAATAAGTAGAAATACAGTACTATAAAAGATTTTAAGACAAAAATGGCTGTCTATCATGAGGTGTACAAGTCATCCCTGAGTTAGGCAGAGCTTATAACATAAATTACATAGAGCAGTTTACATACCAGTCAATAGACTTCCCTACATCTTCAACATCCCAGTCATCACCTAAATAGAAACCCAAAAATGCCTATTGCTGGTGCAACTTTACCATGGTAACACATTTCATTCACAATGTTGCCGTGCTGGTGAAAGAACACCTGAAGGCAAGTGAATTAATAACTGATAACTCACGAGAAGTTGACGTAATGGCACTGAAGATTTGTAATCAGGATGATAACTGATAATCATAAAAGCCTACAGTCCACCAGCAAGCAGCATATAGACAAAAGAGAAGGCCTCATAATGATTATGAGAGTTTATAATAAGAGCAGATAAAGACGAACCATAATTGTTGGTACGTGGCAACTTCAACTTGATTTTAGTTGACTGGGAGGCCTATGAAGCCAGAACACACAAGTTTTCACTCAACCTGTCTTACATTTAGTATGGCTTAAGGGAACTTTTAACATATCTAAGCAAAGCTAACAAGTTACATTTGATGAGTCTACAGGAAGGCAGGAAGTTTTCTAGTTTAATTATTATTTTGGGCCACATTCTCACAGGTGTGGAAATACCCCCAAAATGATAATTACATAAATTAGATAATTTCCTGACCTCCTTTGGACTGATTGGCATCCTGGTAGACCTACACTACACTGGGTGAATATAAGTATCACTTGTTTTTAACAGTTTATGATTGGGATAGTGCGTAGCATCCTCAACATAACACAGGAACATTGCATGTCATTTGGCTTCTGTTACCATATGAACGTTTCATTGGAAGTGTTCATGTATCTTCATCCATTATAAGCCCAAAAATACAGTTCAGTTCTATGTACAGGAATTTCAACAATTGGAGTTTTCAATTCAATATTGTACTTTGATTTAATGTAGGTTTTGTAAACTCTTAACTGTTTTGAGCAATTTTGTGTGTTTATAATAAAGACTGTGTATGTATGAGATAGAATGCATAATAAGAGTGCAGTGTGCTTACCAGGATGTAGGTAGAATGCCAGAGGTAGTGGGAGAGAGGAAGGAAGGAAGTGGATGCATTTATGACAATAAAATAGATGTGGGGTAATGGAGACGTTGCTCCATACCCATTCTCATCCATTCTCTTCTCTTTTTTTATCAAGGGTGGCAGTTGCTCCAGAACAATCCATTTATATACGCTTCCAACATGCCGGAGACACTTTCGTCCCAATTCTTTGTTTTACTGAAAGTGATGCAGGGAGAACGACCTCAAGTTTCTCCATGGTATCGTGTCGCAGCGCTGACCTCTGTTGGTGGCAAAGCTTTCACCTCCTTTGCAAAATACAAGAAATATGATCAAGGTAGTTACAGTATTGTATATAAATTTTTCATTGTCAGCTATACAGTACTGTACATATGTATTTGATAATTTAAGAATGCATTCAAGAATTGACTGAATTGACTTGAGATATGAGGCTGCTGCTTCTCAGTACTGTATTTATGGAGTATCGTTATTATCGATGGTTGTAAATCTTTGATATTTGGTAGTTATTTTCAGACACCTAAAATATTTTGTCTTTATACAAATGATATAATTTTAATTTATATATATTTGATAGTAATAAAATGAAAGTTGATCAAATTTGTACAGCAGTACACATCAATAACTTCTTTGCTGTACAGTACATAAAAAAAAGTGTTTGCTTCTCATACTGAAATGCTGCGTAGATCTCTCATCCTTTCTCATCTTCTAAAATGCCAATATTAAAGACAATTTTCAGTGAACTTTTAATTCTTAATGAACATGTCTTCTTACAAAAAAATAAAAAATAAAGTTGGGGACCTGGTAGTACATTGATCGGCAGATACATACCAAGGATAACTTATTGGTAAGGCTATGAGCTAAGGGAAAGGAAAGCTCTAAACCTGCTAATAAGAATAAGAAGTTATCTTATGTATACATTTGTGTAAAGTACAGTACTGTACAGTATTTCATTTTAATTTCCGAGTTGGTGATTGAAAGGATAATAAATGCCCATAAAACTGAAAGATGTATTCACAATTTATTATCAATCTCGGTGTCTTGAGCAGAATAAAACCTCTTACAGGGATTTGTTCTTAATTTTATGTTCTTCATTGCAGATTTGTATGCCAGCTTAGTGGCTCCAATGCTGAAGACCAATATTGTTGTCGAGAGCTGGAGAAATGGACCTCAACCCCTTCCATCTTCCTGTAACACTACCTACACGTGTGTTTTACTGGCATTTTTGTTTTCGAAACGTTAATTTGCATGCTTTACATTTGTAAGGAAGTCTTGGGTAACTTCACTGCCCTGAGAACGCCTGCTGGTCAGTGAAGCATATTTTCTTAATGAGGCAGTTGAATCATCGTGAGACTGATTTATCTTTTGTACTAAGAGCCTATACTTTAGTGAACAATTCACCTGTGTTTACATTACAGTACAGTATATACTTAATTTCAGGAGGTTTATGGGGATATACTACTCTTAGTATTTATACAATTTTGTTGCATTACCAAAGTCAATAAATTGTTGGTTGCCTTGTCATTTATGGTATTCAAGATTGTTTTCTTTGTTCTAAAGATCGAACTGAAAAAAATCCTCAAGGCAGCTGGAAAAATCTCCTCAGGAGCAATAGGGAATCTTTGACAAACTGCTGGCTTTCTCTGTTGAGGCCACTAAAGATGGTGGCCCTCAGGTAAATTCAAGTAAACTTAAATTTTCCTGCCTGATTAATGGTTGCATGGTTGGTTAGTTGACTGGCAGGTGATAGTCCTGGGTGGACCGTTTGGACTCTAGTTCTTAGGTCATCCTATGGACCAGCTTGGAATTATCTCAATACTCAACAATCTATTTTTTATGATAGAGTATCCTAAATATTTGCAGGAGTATTAAATTGTTTTTATTTTACAGTATAAGGTTTCAATTTTGGTTAAGGTAAAACAATCACACAATTATTTAGTCCAATGTAATCGAAGATACTGGAAATTAACTTGGCACAAATATTTTTTCCAAGTCCCAATCAGAAGAACTAATAATTGTGGATATTATATATTTTCTCACATTTTTAATTATTATCAGGAGAATATAATGTAGGATTTTACCACAATGTAATGGTCCCTCACTTGCATGTACTTGTACAGGGTGGAGAATGTGGAAAATGTGTCGGCTCGGGCAGCATCTACCAGCTTTACTACACATCACGACCATAGCAAATGGGTGGTGGCTTCAGAGCCCGACAAACCTTATGTTTGCATTGGTGATATTAATAGAATGGTTTGTATTAAAAGCATTCATTATTAGAATAACTTATATTTGAAGCAGGTACTGTCATTGGTTAGAAAATGTTTACATAGTCTCAATGTGATTAATTTAGCATTTTGAGTAAGCCTGCACTATGACAATATTGACAGTGAGGAATTCTTAAAACTTGCAACTTCCAGAACATGAGGTCATAAGTTGGAGTTAAGGAAACGAAGGTGGTGAAAAAATATTAGAAAATTCTCTTGCAAACAGTGTTAGATGGTTAGAACAAGTTAAGTGAGAAGGCAGTGGAGGCCAGAACTGTCAGTAGTTTTAAAGAGTCATATGACAAAGAGTACTGGGAAGATAGGACAGCATGAGTGTACCTCTCATCCTATAATTACAATTAGGCAGTTACACTTAGGTAATTACACACACACACACCTAACATAGAAACACATGGTGAGACAGACACCAACATACACATAATAACATAACACAGACACAAAGAGGGGTGAGAGTGTGTGTAGGAGGGGAGTATTTGCAGCTGCATACTTGCAAAAAATGCCTTGTGCCAATAGTACAGGCATTGTGTGTAATATAGTGAAATAGTTTAGATATTTGCAAAATATTTTAGTGCTTAAGGTGGCAGATATAATGACCAAACCACTCATCAGAAAGTAAAGAAATTATGATGTTTCGATCTGTACTAGACCATTATAAAGTCGTGTAACAGGAGAGAAAGTACAGGCAAAATATAGCAGATGTAGTCTCACTTTGCAATGGAGCTAGTAAACTTATAAAAAAAAATCTATAAACTGGTTGCACTCATGTCACACATTATTAAAATCTTTGAAAAGGTGACTTAAGAGTCAAATTTCCAATTTTATAGTGGAAATTATATATCCAGGTCAACATGGATTTAGAGCAGGAAAACTGTCTTTGGCACTATTCAACTACTATGACAAAATTATGGAAACTGAAGAAAGCCAGAATGTAGATGTTACTTACACAGACTTCACAAATGCATGTGATAAATGTGACCTTAGCAATATCCATAAAGTTAGGTCCAAAGAAATAACAGGTGAGGTGGGACAATTTAATTTTAACTTCCTGATAAATGGGCCACTAAGCATAATAGTAAACCAAATAAATTCTAGTCACACATACTTATGTACATGCATACATATATACTGTATATAAATACATGTACATGCATTCTGGTTTTTCACTTTTGCTGTTTTCCAGGAAACGCAGTTTGAGCGTGCAGGAGGGACTGTGTGTATGCAGAGCTTGAGCATTTGGCACAGATTCCATAATTTGGTTCAAGCTGTTGAAGCCTGTCCAAGGGCAGTGTAAGCAAAGAAGGTATGTTTTTGTGTTTTTGGCTAACACTTTTTATAATCATTTATTATTCATTGAAATTATTTGAAATTGATCATGTTTTTTCAGTATGGCATGTTGTACATGCTCCCATGCACACAGATCTAGTTCTCATGTAATTTCCACTGAGTAGTCTGACTGTATGTTGCATGTTTATTACAAGCCCATAACCCACAAAAGTTTGCAACCTTGGCAGGAATTTGCTCCTCCATGTCTGGTCATGACAAAGTTTAGGGAGTTTTTGGCAGGCCAACAGGGGTGTATTATCTTGCAGACTGACCTGTCTATGGCAGCATTGTATGATGTAGTCATGTATAATGTTCATATTATAGGGGGTGGTACTACCTCTGGCTGGATGAAGGGGACCCATAGCCTCAGAAAAGCACACACAATGCACAAGAGGGGATTTTTGGGTCCCTTCCCAAAACTGGCTCAGCAAGAAATATTTAACTCAATGCCTAATTTTTCTTTTCCAGGTATTGGTTCAGTAATACAGTATGCAGTATTCATGTTGTATTTCTTGGGACTGAGGATGGTTACTGCCAGAGTGTTACCCGAGACCCACCATTAGAAATGACCTGACTATATTATACGCCTAAACGGATACCAATGGACCAGAATTCTGTGTATAAAAATCCTTTTTAAAAAATCATGAAAGTTATGTCCTGTGTGCCTTTTTAATGAGTTTTGAGCATATCTGCACTTCATCATATTTGCACTTGCTAAAAAAATTTGCTTTCTACTTTAATAAAAGAAAATGTGTTTACGGTTTCCCACCAAAATATGAGAATGTGTTTATGGTTTCCAACCAACAACTTCCCAATATTTGCCAACATCTCAATATTGTAACCAATCTTGCTTAATAAAAGTTTAAAATTTGGGTCTTGGATGAAGACGGTATACAAGTGCACATGGGGAAAACACTCAAGGCTCCTCTAGTTGCTATATATTCTCTTCTGATGTTAGGAGGTCCCCACAAACACACCCAGATATGGTGCCCTCTAATGTGCAGCATGTAATATATGTCCTGCCTTAAATGCATTGACTAGTGACATAACCAACTAACTCCATATTTTGGGTTTGAACGAATAAACACTTTTTCCCTTCCATTACCATTACAGTTCATCTTTGCATTATTCTCTCTTATTGTTTAGCTCAAAATACCCTTAGCTAAATATTGCAAAAATAAGATTAATTAATTAACAATGAATGCAGATATGTGAGAATGCTATTGTGTATAATTCTCAAAGCTGCCTGCTTACAACTGGCCGCAGATTTTAAAACAACTTTTCAATAAGTAATTATATGAAAGGAAAGATAAGTCAATTACATATACCTGATGAATACTGTTGAAGTGATGTGTTTACTGTGAAAACTAAAAAAAAAAAAAAGATATTGACCAAAACAATATTTTGCCTTATCAGAAGTTTAAGAACCCGGGAAACTCTGCTAATGTATTGATGCTTGTTAGTCCCAGGAAACAAATTTTGTGATTTTATAATTTCACTAAACAGCAAATTTTCTATTAAGTTAACTTTGTAAAATAAATTAGTGTATTAGTGAGAGAACAGATTGATTACTGTAAAAAGATGCACAAGATCAACTCTTAAAGGCTTGAGAGTATCTGAGCTTAAGCCATTGTATAAAGATGTAACTAGAAGTCCGGGAATGCATAGGTTCATTTACAAATAAAATATAGTCAGGCAGTGACTAGATCTGATAGTTGTAATCCATTTTGGTAAATGATTCAGATTTAGCTTGAATGGTTAAACTGCTATTCGTAAACATATCGACGCAACTTGCCCTCTAACCATTGTGATAATTATCACAATAATTGATCTCACTTCCTTGAGTGTTAATCACTGCACAGAAATGGTTGGGTATGTTTTTCCTATCACCTTATGCCTCTATTCACCTAGCAGTAAATAGGTACGTGGAAGTTAGGCAACTTGTGGGGTTAAATGCTGGGAAGGGTTAGTAGTTCAACTTTGTGGGGAAACTTAGATACAAGCCTAATGTATATATATGTATACACACTGCCTGTCCCCAACAAAATGAATTATGACTTATTATGTTTTAAGGGTTCCTTAATTAAAGTCTTCAAATTTTGGAGGTTTGTGAAATATTCAGAAATTATTATACAGCAATTACTCCAGTAATTGCTGTGTAAATTGCTGTATAATTACTGTGTAAATTGGAGGTCGTTTCCCGAGGAACAAGGCATCAATGATATACATAGGTGTAGAATATAAATAACATGTCAAGACTACCACCAGACCACAAAGGTAGAAAATATTACTCAGGGATAATAAAAACAATAGATTAAAAGCTGGTCTATTAATTAGCAGAAAGCTAATTTTAGAATAGTCTTCAAGAATTCTGTTTATTCTGTACTAAATTTAATTGGTTAGCTGTTTTTTTTTTTTTTTGTTTTTTTTTACATAGCCTATTACTGTTGTTGAAAATTAATTATAAATATTGTACCTAACTTTTGTGATAATCATTTCATGTGATGACTAAACCTGAAGTTTGGATTTATATAATATAATTACCATATATTTCAAAGTTGATATACTGCTTAATTGTTTTTAATGGTAATATGGTGGCATTTTTTAAATACTTTCATACTCTTAAATTTATTTTTATTATTTTCTTTGTAGTGTAAGGGAAGACATAAATAATAAGAGAATTATATATAATGACTTTTTCTGTCATTATTTTGTTAAATATTTGAAGTTGATTCAGTCTGGATTAAAAAGTAGTGTATATTAAAAGGGTAATGCATATTACTGATGCTGAGGACCAACTAGCCAAATCCATAATATATGTGTATATACTGTACTTGCTTAAGTTAACTATGGCACTTAACAAGCATTTGTATAAAGTTTGTATATTGTTGATTTTATGGAAAGTATTAAAATTACTGCATTAAATTTCTTTTGGTTAAGAATTGTGCCAAGGTTGTAATATAGTGATAGTCAATGGTGACCCTGCATTTTGTTACTTACAGTATATTGGTTAGTTTCTAAACTAATTCAATTTGACTTAAAATAGTTATTTAGCACAATTCATTGTTATGGTCACATCTGCTAACCTGAAGTTAACTAATATTTTAACCAAGTTAAAGATCTGAAACATTTTAACAGAATAATACTAAATACAGAATACTAAAAAGAGTGGTATTAGAGGGCAATATATGGATCTCGAGCGATATTCGAAGATATTATTGTTAACTTCATTGTAAGCCTTTGTTAGTTTTCCTTGCTCAAATAATATTGTATAATGCAGTGGAAACGCCATTATCCAGATCCTCCTTGTTCCGTATTCTCAGATTATCTGGACATCAAGAGGTATTGTACCATTTGGTCCTGATAATCAAGGGTTGCCCTGTAGTTCAGGTTCTTATTGAACATCAATTCTGGTAAAATTTTTACTATACTCCTTGGTAAATGAATTTAAATGTCTGTGAGTTCATTTAATATTTTTGTTCAGTTCCTTTGTTTGAACTTTATAGGCCACTGGGTGTAAGTGCCTTAGTGCACACCTAATGGCTCAGCATGTGGACTGGCTGCTCAGAGGTTGTGTCAAGATGTATCAACATTTGACATACTAAAGACATTTGGTCAAGATACAGTTAGTATATTTTGATTGCTAACACTTGGCATTCCAAAAGCCATTGGATAACATGCTGTGTGATTAGATCTTTATTGCTTGGATTATCCATGTATGAAAATATTTTAAATTACCTGTACTGCACTTTTTTGTCGTGTAATATTTGAAGCTACAGTTATTAATCCACTTTGGACAGTAACATAAACTGCCAATTTTTCCTAAAGGCAAGGCATAGTGGAGGAGCTTACTGACAGTGAAATTCAGTAAGTTAAATGATAAAAGATGGCAAGCTGTTTTACATTACTGGAGAATACTGCTTTTATTTCATAGCTGCTCAATCATATCATTCATTTGTAAATATAAAAATCCTATAAATATAGGATATAACACTAACATTTTTAATACTGAAGAATTTGTAATTGGGTGTTTGCAAAGATACTAGATATTTATTTTATCATTTTAGTGAGTAAATACAGTTACAGAATCTGAGGTCAACTGCTGTGAAGCTACATGGTTAAGAGTCACTAAAGTCTTCATGAAAGTAATATGATCCAGAATGTATGAAGTAGTCAATGTTCATGAAGTCGGGAGGTAATTTGAAAAATCCTGTAGTGTGCAACTGGATTGCAAATCTTTTGAAAATATGTTTGAATTGTATCTGGTTTTTGTATTTTTTCAGAGCTCTTGCACTGAGCTGCTCTTTTAAAGTAAAATCCCACTTTATCCTTGATCTGTTGATATGTCTAGTCATTCTCCTATTGTGTGTGTTTCCTAATGTGTGCTTTTTACGAGCTTGTTGGCTTATGACCTCAAGTGTCTTTTGCTTGAAGGCAGTGCTGGTGGCTCGTGTACGTGCCTGTGCCTTGTGTTATAGATTTTGAAGTCCCTGACTCATGCTCTTGAGGAAGTAGGCGTTTTTCCTTCTTTTCCAGTCTTGATAGTATGATAAGATCACTTCTTGTCAACACATAATTAACTTGTGGGCACTTATTGGAACAGAGACCTGTATTATACTCTCAGAACTGTATTGTCCTGCTAGCAAAGTCATGTCCCACTCATAGAATGTCTTAATTTTCAGAATGATTGGAAATTTTTGTTTTCCCATTTTCCTACGAGTAATTGAATCTTCTATGACTCGAGAATTTCTTTATCATCATCTTGTCTGTTTTTCTGCTCTTGTATTGGCATCCTGAATGGTATCTAATAACCTTTTAGGATTCTGACTGATGGTACTATGTAGCCTTTCAAGCTTGGTGCTTTTTGATAATTATTTACCTCTATTTTTCAGTTTCTAAATTAGCCTTTTGTGAGGAACTCGAGATCCTCTTCATATATTACTATATTACTGTTTTTTTTTCTGCAATGTACAGTAAATACACTACCCCCCCTTCATTTATTTCTTAAATAATTTCAGTATTTTTTTTATATGCAATGTATTGATCTAAATTTAAATTTGCAAGCAAGTTGTCTTCTATGTGTAGATCTCGGTTTCCTCCAATTGACTCCTATGAGCATCTTGACAACTAGATGGCCATACAGTAAATTAAAATTAAGACACCAAATGTGCTAAAAAAAGTGTAAATTATCAGTTGCAAACTGGTATTTGGATGGCATAAAATAGAGAGGGTATTATATGTTAAAATCATCGGAGCTTCAAGACTTTATATGATAAAGATTATAAGAAATACAGGACATTATGAGCATAGATTTTGTCCCATTACAATACTGAAGTATTTGTTAGCGAATCTGGCCTATAGCTTGTAGAGTCCTCCTTATTCTTTTTATGTACAGTATTATAACAATGTTCTGATTACCTCTTTAAGAGTATAAAGCTCAAATTTGTGTGTGTGTGTATGTTATCGGGCACGTGAATGCTAGGGTTTTCTTTGTTTTGTTGACATTAACATACATATGCATACTGTTTTTGAATTTTGATGATGCAACCACAATCTACAGACTTGTCCTCCAGTCATACTTGGAGATTTCCCAAAAATAGATTACCAGTTAATCACCCCCTTTATCCTGTGATATATTAGTATTAATTCCCACCGAGTATACTTTTTCCAATTATACCATTCCTTTTCTCAATCTTCTGTGAATCTGACATTGCTCGACTTATGTTTTTCCACTCGTATTGGCATCATGAATGATCTCTCAGACCTCTTGGATATTCTGTGCCACATACAGTGGTATATTATCATCCTGGTTGTGTTCTTTTTATAATATTTTCTACCATTTAATGCACACATGTAATATACAGTATTAATGTACAAGTTTTTAATATTCTTTTAGGGTTTGTGTACAATAATATAATTAAACATTTCTTGAAAATTAAGTTGATTCAAGTTATAATAACTTGGGTAGATTTTGTGATCAGTGTACCATATTAGAAATAATAGTAAGAATAGGTCCAATTTATCGAACAATTTCTGTTCAAGGTATGCCGTGTGTGTGTATATGAACATGATCACTGTAAATACATTTTTTATGTATCATGAATTCTTCTCAATGACCAATATGAATTTTTTGTGCCAAAGAGTAGTTTGTAAAAATTGTGAATACAGCATTTCATAGATTAAATTATAGTCCTAGTTACAAGTAAAATGTATAAAATTGCCGCATTTATTGTTTGTTTCTTATACATTTTGCTGATAAAATTATTTATTTTCTAAATATGTAAACTCTAAATACTGTGTAAAATTGGTTATAATTATGGGCTTTTTGCCATGCATGTATCCAGCTGATATTTTATTTACCATATACTGTACTCATTTGATATTTCCAAGTATAAAGTTGATACATGTGGGGGAAGAGTTATATGTTGGCGAGTTGAAGCATAATTGAGGTGTGGTTCACTGGACTTGTTCTTAATCCGTATTTTTATTCAAAATTACAACATGGAGTACATACCTGGAATGCTTTTAAAAGTATTGGTATTTTATATTGTACAGTACTGTATAAGGAATTTTGTATTAAAATTGAGTTACATTAGAGAATAAGTCCTTGTTACCAATCCATAAATAAAGGAATCAACACAGTTACAAGTATTAGCTTTATATGGGATGACAGCATCTAGTATTATATAGTGTAGGTGCAGTATTTGTTAATGATGTAACTTATGAATGTGTATTTATTGTGTTGTGTTCTTGGGGATTTATTATGTAATGTGATTGAGTACTGTGTATTTCTAAACCAGGTACTGTGCCAGTTACAGCAGGCACATGCATTTATTACTTCTCTACTGTCTTCATAGCTGTATTCTTATAATGTGAACAATAAACTTGTTAAAAATATACGTTGATGTGTTCATAGTCCTAATTTTTAAATATACTTAATATGGTTACCGTGTAATTTTATAATGCTCCCATCCCCCCCAACTATGGATGATACTTTGGAATGGAAGGAAGAGGATGGGGGGGGGACATGTTCTGCAAATTTGGAGGACAACTGAGTGTACGTTATGAAGCACTTACAGCCTGATCACCACACCACTGTGTTGCTACTTCTACCAACTGTCTGTAGCATCCATCTAGTCATTTCTCCAATACTGTATTTTTGTGGCATCCATGTGTTTGTGTTACCAATGATTGTTGTGTGTGTGCAGTTTTCCACGTAAATACTGTACAAATGAGTCTTGACTCAAATGTTGTATGGTATGGTATAGAAATCTCGTGGAAACAAGTCACAATCTACTGTTTCACCAAGATTGGCTGTGATTCTAGAATCTTGTGAAAAAGTGACTAGATAAACTAACCATCCACCTTCCATTTGAGTGGGTGGAATATGGATTACTTGTGACACAGTCAATTAGGTCAGCTGTATGGGTGCATGGAGAATATTGTTAATGTAATATAAATGACACTATGGGTGTCTGGAGAACCTTGTTTATATTGTACATAGTCAGCTATATGGGGAAGTGATGTGTGGTATATATAGTACTACTAGATGGGGTACCTGGTTGTGCCTGCATCTTTATTCCCCCTCTTTCTCATCTTTCTTCCCCCATCTCCCCCTCTCCACCCTTGTCCCCCCCCCCCCAATATCCCTCTCCTCCCCTCCATCCTCACCCACCTATTTTCTACTCTGCACTTTTCTTCCTCCTCTCTAATCCAGGAAAGTCCTCTTGAGTGTCAGTGGAGAAAAACATGTTTTAACATTTCCTAAAGAATTTAGTTTAGGTGACCAATAACTGTGTATGCATGACAACAAAATAGTTGTGTATTACATTCGGCACATGTGACATTAGTCCCCAACACTCCCAAAAATTCAAATTCAGATTAAGAAAATTGTAGGAGGATGGAGGGAGGGCACTATAGATGGAGATATTTCTTATAGAGTGGCATTGGGGCCGTCTCTGATGGTCCCAGTACCCCATGTGTCATCTTTGAAAGCTGGGTGAGGCTAGCCCCAAGTATCTTGTCTCTAAAATTGGGAAATCTGTGCCAAAAATGCAGAATGCTCAGTTTCATGCGATGGACACGGTTTACATGGGGTCAGCCATAATGGGAAGATGGTACATGATGTGTGTGTGTGTGAGAAAGAGAACACACACACACACACACACAAATATATAACAATTAAACAATCAGCGTTCGAAGACCTCGTCCAGCTCCTCGGAGGTTGGGTGCGTACCCAGGATACAGCACGCATTTCCCCAATGAACTGCGACACTGAGGCGCTGGAACAGGAGACTGGCCGCTCGTGGGTCTCTAATTTTCCCAATGAGTTCCTCACCCACCTCCTTTATAAACTTGAGTGCACATTTACCCCAGGCGCCCAGAGTCTCAGAGCCTATCGGCACGAACCTGTGACAACGTTCTAGGTCTCTGTACTTGTTGATTTTCTGGGTCTTCCTGAAGGTGGCTGCCCCACCTCCCTTCGCTGAGCTGTAACGTAAATAGGTATCAGCCAATGTAGCTGCACAGGTGTAATCCCATACGACCTGTTTACCTTCCCTCCATGGCTGCAGGGTGACTTCATCTAGGCGTTTTTGGCTGTTGTCAGGTCTGCACAACTGGGGTTCCCTTTGTCCTGGACAGCCAGCTGTAGCCAAACTTCTCTTGATGATGTCATTGACTGCTTCATGTCTGGCAATCTTTCCCTGTAACTTACGACAGATGAGGCCATGGCTGCCGTATTGGTGTGCCCGTGCATGGCCGCAAACACACCTGTGTTCGGTGGAGATAGGGGCGGCAAGGCGCAGAGCAACACCAATACTTAGGGCTCGATGGTCCAGGCGGGTGCCCAAGGTGGAATTAGGGACTGCCAACAGGAAGTCCCCAGCATGGGGGGCACGCACAGCAAGGAGACGCGCTCTGTCCTTCTGAGAAGCTGCCTCCAGCAATGCTTTGGCGATGTTCTCCACTATGGGGCTATCCCATTTGGCCTGTTTACCGTCGTTTGGAAAAGTTGGTCGGGTGTGTGAATTGGCAAGTGTCCCACTGACCAGCTCCTTCCACAAATTTGGGATCACGAATCCCAATGGAGTTCCTTAGGTATTCTGTTGGGCATTTCTCTACAGTGCTGGCATTTCCTCTCATCTTCCGGAACCTGTAAGCTTATTTCCCATGCACATGGGTATCCAAGCCTGATGCTATGTAAGTGTACTTCTGTTGTTCTACTGCTCCCTTTCATTAAAATAAGTGGTTCGTAGTTGGTTGACATGATACTGCTGACTACATTGTAAACAAGGTCCTTCATACGCATCGCATATAGTGCCATGCATACCACCTCCCCATACATTGACCACATGTAAACAAGGTCCTCCATATTTTTATTACATCCATATAGTACCATATATACCACCTGTCACCTCCCTATACAGTGATCATAAGCAAACAAGGTCCTCCATACACATCCATATAGTGTTATATATACCACTTTATACAGTGATCATTTATGTATACAAGGTCACTCCATACACATTCATATTTACCTGAATTTACCTGAGGGCCACTAATACTAGTGGCCTCCACGAAGACAGGAATGTTTTAGATTTAACTACTTTGAACGAAATGTCCATATAACACGGGCTATAGCTTAGACAGAATGCCGGCGGCATGTCTTATAGTGCCAGATATACCACCTGCCACCTCCCTATACAGTGAGTTGTTGTTTTAGATTCAGCTATTCAGAACAAAAGTTCCAAGTATGGTAAGTCCGTAGTCGACTTATATACAGTGAAGTGGCAGATGGTATATATATATATATATATATATATATATATATATATATATATATATGGCACTACTGTATATGAATGAGTATGGAGAACCTTGCTTACATTTGATCACTGTATAGGGAGGTGGCAGGTGGTATATATGGTACGATATGGATGTGAATGGAGGTTCTTGTTTACATATGGTCACTGTAGGGGGCAGTGGCAGGTGATATATATGGCACTATATAGATGTGTATGGAGGATCTCGTTTACATGTGGCCACTGTAGGGGGCGGTGACAGGTGGTATATATGGCACTATATGGAGGTTCTTGTTTACATGTGGTCACTGTATGGGGCGGTGACAGGTGGTATATATATATATGACACTATAAGGAGGAGCTTGTTTACATGTGGTCACTGTATAGGGAGGTGACAGGTGGCATATATGGCACTATAATGAGGTTCTTGTTTACATGTGGTCACTGTATGGGGCGGTGACAGGTGGTATATATGGCACTATAAGGAGGTGGTTGTTTACATGTGGTCACTGTATGGGGCGGTGACAGGTGGTATATATGGCACTATAAGGAGGAGGTTGTTTACATGTGGGTCACTGTATGGGGCGGTGACAAGTGATATATATGGCACTATAAGGAGGAGCTTGTTTACATGTAATCACTGTATAGGGAGGTGACAGGTGGTATATATGGCACTATTAAGGAGGAGCTTGTTTACATGTGGTCACTGTATAGGGAGGTGACAGGTGGTATATATGGCACTATAAGGAGGAACTTGTTTACATGTGGTCACTGTATGGGGCGGTGACAGGTGGTATATATGGCACTATAAGAAGGAGGCTGTTTACATGTGGTCACTGCATGTATGGGGCGGTGACAGGTGGTATATATGGCACTATAAGGATGAGGTTGTTTACATGTGGTCACTGTATAGGGAGGTGACAGGTGGTATATATGACACTATAAGGAGGAGGTTGTTTACATGTGGTCACTGTATAGGGAGGTGACAGGTGGTATATATGGCACTATAAGGAGGAGGAGCTTGTTTACATGTGGGTCACTGTATAGGGCGGTGACAGGTGGTATATATGGCACTATAAGGAGGAGGTTGTTTACATGTGGTCAGCTGGTGGGGAGGAGAGACGTGGCAGCGCCGCGTGAGAGCACCAGCGCGGGGGTCACGTGATCACGGTGGGTTCCTCTCCCCTGCAGGAGCTCACCAACCTCGCCTCTCCTACACCTCTCCATTTCCCTCGCGTCCCGTCATGTCTGCCACTTGTTGCGATACACAAGGTAAGACGGAGTGGTGGAGATAAGACGAGAGGGAAGACGGAGAGGAGGTAAGAGTAGATAATGTGATAAGACGTGAGGTGAGGAGCCGGGCCGACAGCTTGGAGAAGAGGGACGCTGGGGTGAGCGCCGCTGCCACACGCCAATATTTTTCACACAGCTTCTCTCCGCGGGCCTGCTAGCGTAATTATACACTGTCATTCACCGCTCATGTCTCGCTTGAGAGCGCTGGGTAGGTAAGGGAGTGTGGTATAGTGGTGTAGAGTGTGTGGTGTATAGTATGGGTGGTGGTGGGCGAGCTGTGGCTGGGTGGGCGGGCTCCTCACCACTCCTCCACCCACACAACAGGTGTATCTTACTGTATTATAATACATTAAACCATATTTACTGCTAAACACACTTTATTCCTCATATTTCTTCATTTTCAACTACCATGATATAAGGATTTAATTCATCAAAATTTATATACAGTATTTCATTGTTTATAATTAACTTGTGAATCAAATGAGAATTAAATGTCAAATTTAGAGAACTATATGTCGAATTGCAGTTTTTTTCTTCAGTATGTAGTATTCAAACACAAGGTATAATTTGTGTATGTTATCACTACTGGGTCCACAATGTTACGCACTAGAGATAATTTACCTGATGTACCTGACTGCCACCAACCCTAGTGGCCTCGACGAAAACAGGAAGCTGGCAGCTTGTCGAAGGTACCCCCATCTGCCTTGATATTTTCGAGGTATATTTTGAAACTCGACGCATTTATGGCTTCGGCTGGTAGGCAATTCCATGGGTTAATAACCCTGTGGGTAAAAAAGCATCTCCTGTTCTCATTCAGTTCTACATTGTGGCTTGTTGAGCTTGAAACCGTTGCTCCTTGTTTGTGTTACATCTGACCTGAAGAAGAAGATATCTGAATCAACATCCTCTAACTTGTTCAATATTTTAAAGTTTCAATGAGATATGTCATGCCTGGTTAGCAATGTTGTTTAGCCCTGTGGCCTTCAAGCGTTCTTGATACGAGAGATGACTTGGGCTCTGGAATGACTTTTCTTGCCCGGTGTTGCACCTTCTCCAGAGCAGCTGTGTCCGTCTGAAAATGAGGTCTCCATGCTTGGATACAGTTACCCAAGTGTATTTACCAGAGATTTATACAGTTGAACCATTACTTTCTTGTCTTTATAGTAAAAAATATGTTTGATTTTTCCCAAGAGTTTGGTTAGCTTTTCTTAATGCTGCTCCCCCCTGTTGTGCAACTTTTAACGAGTGGTAGATTTTAACTCCAAGGTCCTTTCCCTCATCAATCTGTTGTAATGTAATGGTATTAATTTTGTAATTGTGGTGTGGGTTGTTATGCCCCACATGCATGGTCCTGCATTTGTTGATAATAAAAAGCATTTGCCTGTCTTCTGACCATTTGTGGAGTTCATGTAGATCTCTTTGTAAGGTTTCAATATCATTATCATTTCCCACTTTACCATACATCTTTGTGTCATCTGTAAATTTGATGGTTGTTTGTAATATTCTCATCTATGTCATTGATGTATATGACAAAAAGGGTAGGTCCCAAAATGGACCCTTGTGGCACCCCACTTATCACATTGCTCTATACAGATTTGTTTCCATTTTGCATGACCCTTTATTTTCTTTCCTTCACCCATTGTTTTATCCATTATAATATTTATTCCATGGGTCTGTAATTTCTTTGCTAGTCTTTCATGTGGTACCATATCAAAAGCCTCAGCAAAATCCATGTATACTACATCCACTGGAAGGCCTTTGTCTGAATAGCTGGTTACTGTTTCCAAAAATGTGAGCAAGTTTGTAAGGCTGGATCTGTTTTTAACAAATCTATGTTGTGTTGATTGTACAAGGTTGTTTGCAGAAAATTAGTGAGATATTTCCTCTCTGAGGATTCTCTCCTTGAGCTTGCAGATGTGGCATGTCAAGCTGATTGGCTGGTAGTTTTCTGCTGAGCTCTTTCTGCCTTTTTTTTTTAAATAGGGGTAACATTTGCATATTTCCAATCTAGAGGGGGACTCCCTTGGTCCAGAGATTTTGTGAAAAGTAGTTTCAGCAGTAGGCATAGTTCTTCTGCCAGCTCATAAGAGGGAGGACAAGAGCTGGAGTTCAATCTTGGCAGTCATAATATATGATGAGAACATATACATAGTGCTCCCAATATATGTACTTAAGCCATACAACTTCACCATTGTAATGATTGCTATCATCTTATATCATGGTTGTTATATTGAATGCATATTTTACTACATTATACCTTGAAATAATCCTCATTATGCTACAATGTACCTGTTGATAATCCTCAAATTTTACTTTAATGTACCTACTAATCTTTGTCAAATTTTCTTACACTACCTGTTAACATTTTTTTCAATTTTGCAAGAAATTACTACTAAATATTATTTGTTAGATTAAGGACCTGACCGAAATGCTGTGTGTGTTAATGGCTTTACAAGAACGTAAAAACATCAATGCTATGTACGTTATATGACAAAAAGTGCTAAGGAGACGGGACACCACGAGTGTAACTCTTATCCTGTAACTACACTTAAGTAATTACACTTAGGTAATTACTCATTCATACTCTGACATTTTCCCTTGCACTCACTCATACATCCCTCACACTCACCCTAACAATCACTCTCGCCGCACTGCACTCTCCTCGCTCCAGTCACCTCTCTGCCACTCCCTATATGGGTATATGGTTATTGGACCACATACTCTTCTCATGGGTGAGTGGCAGAAAAGTTTCAGTGCACTCAGTGGGTTAAGGTGTAGGCAATTGTTGTGGGTTGCATCCTGAGAAGGTCTGTAGTTGCCCTAGGTCCTAGGGAGGGGACCTGATATGTAATGTGTGTTCACCTAGCAGTAAATAGGTACCTGGGAACTAGACAGTTTTAGATTACATCCAGAAGAGTGACGGTAGTTGGCCTAGGAAAAGGGTTGGGGACGGGAATCTTATACCTGATGATTCTGTTCACCTAGCAGTAAATAGGTGCCAGGGAGCTAGGGAATTGTTCTGGGTTGCACCCTGAAGGTCAGTAGTTGTTATAAGGGGACTTATAACAAATTATAGGTCAGATTCCTATCCAGACCACTTCTTTTAAAGAGTATGAATGTAAAATATACAAGGAGTAACAGCTTCAAGCTCGACAAGTTAAAATGTAAGATGGAAACAGGAGATATTTTTGCACCATTAGGGTAATATACCCATGGAATCGCCTACCCGGTGAAACCGTAAATGTCAACACATTACTTCAGTTTAAAATTTAACTGGAAAAATCTCCTGGAATAGTCGGGAGACCTTTGATAAGCGACTGGCTTCCTGACCCCATCGAGTACACTAGAGATGGTAAATTTACCTCAGGTATATTCAGGTAAATTGAAATAAATATCTAGGATTCCCAATTAACATGTTCCATTTTTTGGTCAGTACTTCAAGTGATCCTTCAGTAGTAATTTATCTATAATAGAAGGCATTTAATATGTAAAAAATTCAATATAAAAGTTTTCTCAAGAAAAAAAGTTCCATGTGAATATAAATGTCATGTTCAAGTAAAAACTAAATTGTGAAATTTCAGAGTGAAAAGATGATGTCTCATGAGGAGCATCATGCGCCAGGAGAAGAGGAAGATGGAGAAGATGAGGAGGGTGATATTGAGGCAAGGACAGCAGTGGAGGCTCTCCTTGCACTCACTTCCCCGACTGATTATACGCACCACACAGGTAACTGCCTCCCATATCTGATACGCTACCATCTTTGTCATAATTGAATTTTTATTACAATAAATTACTTATTTAGTATTAAGTGTTTAACCCATTATACCTATAACAAATTTTAACTGAATTATTCTAAGCTTTGCCCGAAACGCTTTGAGTATTTGTGGCTTTATTTAATATGCAATTCCTTGCATTGTACTGTACCTTCAAATATACCTCAGTATTATGTCCTTATGTTTGCCTATTTTATTAATAAAATATTATTATTATTATTATTATTATTATAAAGAGAATTTCTCATTGCATTGACTTCAAAAATTATATATTTAAGTTTAAAAGTGTGGCTACCTTTGAAACTGAGCTTTGTAGCTCCATAATCATTTAAAAAATGATTAATCTTTCAGTGCTGGGCAACATCTTGAGAGAGCCTTATCATATTGATTTGATAATGACAATGCTTCAATATGATTGTTAAACCTCAAGGTTTCTTTTATATGTAGTGATAAATAGCCCAAAGTAACTAATGTGTGTTACAGTAATATTTTATTTCTGGGAGGCCCCATGATAGCTCCTCATAACTAGTACACTGAGACGTGTATCAGGCCTCTGAGACCCACACTGACCTGCCAGGGCCAGAGTGTATCTCAAGTGTGGGGAACCTCGGGATCAAAGATTACCCCAAACCAGATCAAAATTTCTCTTAACAGTTTTATGGGCTATTCATGCCTGTGCCACCTCTTGGGTGGCTTAATCTTTATCAATCATCTATAACAGTTCACATTTGCTCATCTGTTATAAAATGTCTTCCTGTCATGTTTACTAACTTAGAGCTTTAAGAATGTTACAGGCAAAGACTAAACAAACGTCGTGTCTTGTCGTAATCACACACTCGGATCTTGATAAAGCACTCAGGAGAGTGCGAAAGACTTGGTGTCAATTCCTTACATAAATTTCACAAATACACAAGTGTGGGTTTTTATTGTATAATAATAATAATAATATTATTATTATTATTATTATTATTATTGTTATTACTATTATTATTATTATTATTATTGTTATTACTATTATTATTATTATATGTGTGGCCACACATACAAACAGAAGCACTTGAATGAATTCTGTTTATAGATAAATGTTCCAGAACAGTAGAACAGTTTGGGTGTATTTCATCAGAAATAAAGCAGTGATGATGAGGATAATGGCTCACAAGTGATAGCCTGATACTTTACAAAACAGTTCCAGTTTGCACTTATCCTCTACTGGGGATTTGTATCATAATTCAGTTACATAATAGTTTGTGTTTAATTGTGAAAAGCTTTGTTGTGTACTGTAGTTACCTAATAAATGGTACCTCAGTTATCAAATTTAATCCGTTCCCAGAGACAATTCGGTTTGCAGGCATACCACTAGGACCTGATTGTGGCTCGCGGCTTACTTGTCTTACTAAGAATGTCTGTAGACACTTGTTTTTCCCTGTTTCAACACTTCTCTGTAGTGAGACATCACATTGTCTCACTATGAATGATCTCTTGTTTTCCTCAATCGTCATCTTCGCAACTATTTTCTTAGGTTGAACTTTACCAATGACTTTCTTGGAACCCATGGCATGATATATAAGAACTTTTATGTTCAGAAACCAAAAAAAGCGCAAAAACAGTGAAATTCTTAAAGAATTCAAGCATGGTTGTCACTAGGCAGGAGACACTGGTAAACTGAAGTGTGCCATGTGCTCCGTTGGCCCAAATGTGTGTGTATCAACAAACTCGAGCACCGAGGCAAACTTCAAGTACCGAGTCAAATTTTTTAAGGAAATTGAGCTCGAGAACATTGGAAAACTGAGGTTCCACTGTACATGATAGGAATTCTAATATTTAATTCAAAATTTTCCATATGCTAGAGTATAGTACTGTACAGTATATAGTTTTCATGTGCTCTGTTACTTGTATTCCTCATTATTTATTTATTTATTTTGATTCATTCTCAATATTTAAAGAGATAATATGTCAGTAGGTATGAGATGTGCTATAAAATCCAGATTACACATTTCTTTTTGCAGTAATATATGCTTTTTTATTCTTATTGTAATTTTTTATTAATTGTAAACTTTTCTTTTGACAGTTTATGAGGATGACTTCATCATGGAACCTGTGCCAGACGATTACTCTGAAAAAATTGTATCTAGGAAAGAGGTGGTCGGAGTGTATAATGTGGACTCGGTGCCCGCAGAGATGAGTCTGGATGATAACTGTGTACGAGTGATAAGGGAGCCTGTATCTATGCACATTGAGAATACTAGTGTAAGGGACACAAGAGAAATGCAAGTGACTGTTTGTACATCTGAGCCAAGTTTACCACAGCAAGAGTTTAATGTGTCAGAAACAAAAGAAATAGCCTCATCTGCATTAGTCCCGGCCACCAATATTCATAATACAGATGATGGACTGAAGCAGCTAAAAGAATTTGTTAAAGTGACTGAAGGAACAAAGAAAGAAGTTATTACAACACTCTCCGAAAATAATGATCATAATATGTACGCTAGAGGGTGCAGTAGTGTTGAAAAATTTCATACTTATTCACAACCTATTCGTAGAGAAGAAAAATTACCCGAAACATTCAAAGAAAAATCTGAGACAGCAGTCGCATTGCCAGTTACAAAGGCGTGTGAAATTGCCAATGTAAAACAATGCGATACTACTTTATCTCCCCGTGTACCTAAGAAGGAAACTTTGTTGGAAGCAAATGCCAATGTTCGTTCAAAAATGGTTTGTAGTGGAAGCAGAAATAAACGAGGGGTACAAAAACTATTAACGGCTGGGGATATTGTCCAGAACTTTATAAAGCATCAGGAAAGATTGACAAACTCCAGTCAGACTTTAGAGCAAACTAAAGGTGCTATTAATACAGGAAAAGAAAAGTTGAAGGGAAATGCAGAGGAAAGTGTTGAAATTAATAGGAAACAAATGGATAAATTGAAGGAATCACAAAGTGCAGGTAATGTAATCAAACCTAAGAATGGTAATAATATTGACAGTAAAATTGTTCATGCTGAAGTTAATAGTGATGGCTCTGATTCTGAGAATGAGTCTGATTCTTCTGATTCTGATGGTGATTCTGATACTAGTAGTTCCAGTAGTGACAGTGATTCCTCATCCTCTGATTCTGATTCAGATGGATCTGATTCTGATAGTGACTCGGAGACTGATTCCAAGAGCACTGGGGAGTTGGAAAAAAAGTCTGAAAATGTTGAAAAACAGATTGAAGGTGTTAGAAAAAATGGAAATGTTGAAAAGTTTGGAAAGCTAATGAATGAAAATTTAAAGTGTGTTGGTAACTTATTGAATAAGAATTTAGGTTCCAGTAATAAAGAAAATATTAGTGAGTTAAAACCTTCTCAAACAGAGGAGAAGAGTAATGGCAAAAAGCCAGATGATATACCTGTTGAACTTAAGTGTAAGGAAGTAAAACCAGCACTAAACTTAAAAAATGAAATTCCGGTCAAAACTGAAGGCTCTGATAAGCCTAAGCCAACAAGTGTCGTAGAGGAAAAGGCAAGCAGCGAGCCTAAAAACTATAAAAATAGCTTTGATACTTACATGGAAAGAAAGGAATCAAGTGATGAAAAGAAATGCATTAATGCTACCAAAGTTCTTAATGATGTTGAGAAGAATATAACTACAAAGAAAACTATTGATAAAGAAGAAAATAATATTGAAAATAGTGAAAATAAAAATATCAAACAAAGCGATATGGTTTCAAAAGCTGATAATGTAAAGAAAAGCTGCGTGCAAATTAACAAACCAAATGTAAGTCCCACAAAAAATACTCAAAAGGTACAGAGAAAAACAAATCTTTACAAGTCCAGCATGGAGAAAATGAGTGAGGTAGACTTGGTACAGCAGGTTGCTGTTGCATTTGCTCAGCAACTTACCACAATACAGGCAAATCAGCTGAGAGGCCTTTCAGAAAAGTCACTTCATCAAGAAGAGTATTCAAAAGACTACAAAGATGATGATATGGAATGTCTAAATCAAAACAGCTTAGATGGAGAAATGGCAGAAGAGGACAAAATTGATTACGAAATTGATGACGCATTTCCTATACCCATTCAAGCTGAAGTGGTTATGTCTGAAGGAAGCGAGAGCGGCATTGAGTATGAAAGCTATGACAGAAGTGCCATGGAGAATGATGATATTGGCTGGTGCAAGAAGAGCCATGAGATACTTGACCAATCAGAAAAGGAAAACATTGAACTGATGGCATACCTCAAGAGCTTTGTGAGTTATGATTATATTTAAAGTTATGTCTTTGAGATATACAGTATATATATACAGGTGTGTGTGTGTGTGTGTATATATATATATATGTGTGTGTGTGTGTGTGTGTGTGTATATATATATATATATATATATATATATATATATATATATATATATATATATATATATATATATATATATATATATATATATATGTCGTACCTAGTAGCCAGAACGCACTTCTCAGCCTACTATGCAAGGCCTGATTTGCCTAATAAGCCAAGTTTTCCTGAATTAATATATTTTCTCTAATTTTTTTCTTATGAAATGATAAAGCTACCCATTTCATTATGTATGAGGTCAATTTTTATTTATTGGAGTTAAAATTAACGTAGATATATGATCGAACCTAACCAACCCTACCTAACCTAACCTAACCTATCATTATAGGTTAGGTTGGGTTAGGTAGCCGAAAAGGTTAGGTTAGGTTAGGTAGGTTAGGTAGTCGAAAAACAATTAATTCATGAAAACTTGGCTTATTAGGCAAATTGGGCCTTGCATAGTAGGCTGAGAAGTGCGTTCTGGCTACTAGGTACGACATATATATATATATATATATTATTAAATATGACCGAAAAAGTAAGATTAATAATTCTAACACGAATTTTCTCAATCTTTCGTACATTACGCTTCACTGTTGGAGGTAAATCAAAAATCACTTCTCCAAAATTCATTTTTATTTCTAGTCTGACGCGACACGGGCGCGTTTCGTAAAACTTATTACATTTTCAAAGACTTCACAAATACACAACTGATTAGAACTTGCGTTTCCCTGATTTTATATCTACATTTGAGTGAGGTGGGAAGGGTGATGTGGCATTACATTTGAGTGAGGTGGGAAGGGTGATGTGGCATTAACCCAAGACAGAACACTAGGGGATATTAATAGGGTATTAAAAGTATCAACACAAGACAGAACAGAAACAATGGGTATTGAATAGAAGTGTTTGTAGAAAGCCTATTGGTCCATATTTCTTGATGCTTCTATATTGGAGCGGAGTCTTGAGGTGGGTAGAATATAGTTGTGCAATAATTGGCTGTTGATTGCTGGTGTTGACTTCTTGATGTGTAGTGCCTCGCAAACATCAAGCCAAACTTTTTCGGTCATATTTAATAATATATGTCTACAGGAAAGACTGCTACCAAAATATACTAATATATATATATATATAATGATATATATATAATGATATATATATATATATAATGATATAATTATTTTATTTATTTTGTATATGTTAATTTTACTGTATTTCCATAATGTGTATCTTTTGGTGCAGGTAAATGGTGGGGGTGAGGGGGAAGTAGTTGAATACCCACCCTTTAATAACACGGTGCCATCGGATGGTAGTGACCTTACTCAGTGGCAGCTGGATGGCGTGCACTTGCCTCCATTTACTCCCAATGTTGCTCCACCCTCATGGCTACGTCTCACAATACCAGCTGAAGGTTATCGTTGTCATTCCTGCGGAGACACGTAAGTAATATGAATGAAGGACAGATTTTTTTATCGGTTAGCCTATCTAAGAGCAAACGTAATTTACTAACTATGTATGTTGGCAAATTATAAACTAACTGCTTCCTTAGCAAGAATTAAAGTTAGGTGTTTCGGTTGCTAGGCCAGCGTTATAACCACTCTACCAACTGTACTTAAGGGATAGAAAATAATCATACTGGTGACAAGAATGGTTTAGCATGCTGTGCATGTAATTTTAATCTGCTTGAAATATATCTATCTCTTATAAATTTGGCATCTAGAACTAATATTAATGTTATTCATTATCAAATATCAGCATTAATATAAAAAATTGTGCATGGGAACAGATGTAATGTATAATGTTACTTTCCTTGATCCTGGTTCAATAGCTGATACTAATTAAATACTGTAGGTACAGTTGCTTTTAATAGCTTTTAATATAACCATAATAATTTTAGAGTTGTATTCCTATAGGAAGATAATTAATATATATTTCTTTTATCATAGCAGAGTGACTTGTAACTATAAATTTCTTCCCACTAGCTTCTTCATTGAAAGTTCGGTAGTGCAGCATCGAGAACGGCGCAGTGTGTGGATCAGCCTGGAGTGTGGCCCATGTGATGCCAAGCTCACCTTTTATAACCGCTGTGCCCTTAAAGGTACTATATGTACTTCCTTAACTATGTATGTTGAGAAGCACTGGGAATTTGAAATGACAAAATTGCCTTGTATAATAGATATCCAAAGGAATGTTTCATGAATACAGTACTGTAGATAGCTATGCATATTAGAAATGCAGGAATATGTCCGAGACTTTAAATTAAGAGTTATGGATACTGTTAAGTACAGTATGAATAAGATTGATATTGTTAAGTACTGTACAGAGTGAATAAGGTTGAATTTTATTAATACTGGATATGGAAAGTAATTGTTGGCTTCTTTTGTGCTGTTTCTGTGCTTGATAATTAGAGGACAGCTATAAATAAAAACTAAAAAAATTGATGTAACTTCTGTGGAAGAATATGTACCTGGGAGTTAGGCAGCTATTGCAGGTTGCTTCCTGTGAAAGGTCAATAGTTGGCTCTATAGGGGAGCATTGAAAAAATCTGATGGACATCCTGTCCCCAATAATGGGAAATGGCAAGCCATTATATGTAGGACTTCAGTTAGGCTACTTGTAAAAAGATTAGTATGTGAAGACAAAAATGCTTCCTTCTTTTCTGGTCATTTGGTCACACTTCCTAGGCAAGATCCCACTACCCCAGAGACAACGCTAATTCCAGTTAGTATTATGAGATGAGCCAGATTGGCCTCATCTACAATGCAGCACCCACTTCCACTTCAACTCTACTCCATCCTCACTTTTGCTATGGGTCAGAGATTGGAGGAAATATATTCATAATTTCACTGCTGGAGTTTATTGTACTGTAGGTGGTCATGATGATACATTTTATTAGGTTACATTAGAGCCACCTCAACCACACCCTCACCAACCATACTCCCATCAACCACATAAAATCATACCCATCAATTGACATACATACTCACCCTTCATACACATTCTCCCTTCATCTGTATGTCCATATTTGAGTATACAGTGTACTGTACTATAAAAGTGCGGAAGGAAAGATGCATTTGTAAGAGTGTTTATATATAATGTTATGAGATGTACGTGGCACAGAGACCAGGGATACCTCCCTTGATAAGCTGGAATTGAAACACATCCTGTTTAGTTTGAGGTTGGATATTATTTTTCATGCCTTCAGTCGACCTTATCACACAAAGTTTAGCTTGTGTGATGAGAGGCTTTAGTATAATAGCCTGCAAGATTTACCCTGATGTATCAGCCCATCCTCTTGAGTTGTCACAATGTCACAAAAATGATCTACTGAATTGGTTGAACCTAACCTAACTTAGGACCCACAATTAGAAAATGGGACAGCCCATCAATTTTGTGAGCCACTGTTATTTGATTATATTTTGATTGTTGGGAATTTATATACCCCAGGTTGTATGTATGGTGGAAAGAAGTTACGTATACTGTAATATGTTATATGGATGTGATTACTGTATTATTAAGGTAAAGTAGCATCTTGAATACATTTAATTTTAGCTGTTTGCCATTTTTGATAGATCATCTACGCAACCACATGATGCAAGGTGAAGAAGTTGACGAAGAGACTGTAGAGGTGCGATCTCTTCCACTTCAGCTGACTAGACTCCTTCAACCCATCCTGGTACCTGTTCCAAAATCCCTAAGGGTAGGTTTGGAATTCGAGCTTAGAGATTGATTAAAAAAAAAAAATAAATTGCAATGTATGTTGACCAGACCACACACTACAAGGTGAAGGGACAACGACGAAGGGACACAATCAACTTGAGAATGGTCCAGGACGGACCGAAAAGTCGTCGTCCCTTCACCTTCTAGTGTGGTCTGGTCAACATACTTTAGCCACGTTATTGTGACTCATCGCCTGCAATTGCAATAATATACATTGCAATGTATATTATTGATTCAATAGTTGCATTTTAATTTATGCAGTACTTCCACTCATGACTGAAGGGAGAGCAAAGCATTATTTAACCATTCTTATAGCAGACCACAAGTCTGCAGCGCACAGTAAACCTTTCATTCTATATTCATAAGGTTATATGCCCATAGCCCCTAAGAAGAGTCAACTCAAAAATCATACTGTAAACAATGTTTAATGAAACATTACTTTTGTTTCACAGACCTCAAATTTGTGTGTACTTTTTCCTGTTTAGAATTTAAATTTAAATAATTATGACCAGATCAACCGAGTAACAGCTTAATGCTGTTGTTTGGCATAAGGCTACTCTGGTAGAGTATCTTCAACTTGGGTTTGAACTTGATCTAGCCTTCCTCCATTTCAGAAGCTGGGTAGAGCATGAATTCTTCAACATTTGCCCTGTTAAAGCATCATTGCAACCTATCCGGACATTGCACAAGGTGTTGGATTTGATGCCCTTGTTGATTATATATATATATATATAAATCTGATATATATATATATACCTTACCTTGAGGTTACCTTGAGGTGCTTCCGGGGCTTAGCGTCCCCGCGGCCCGGTCGTCGACCAGGCCTCCTGGTTGCTGGACTGATCAACCAGGCTGTTGGACGCGGCTGCTCGCAGCCTGACGTATGAGTCACAGCCTGGTTGATCAGGTATCCTTTGGAGGTGCTTATCCAGTTCTCTCTTGAACACTGTGAGGTGTCGGCCAGTTATGCCCCTTATTTGTAGTGGAAGCGTGTTGAACAGTCTCGGACCTCTGATGTTGATAGACTTCTCTCTCAGAGTACCAGTTGCACCTCTGTTTTTCAACGGGGGTATTCTGCACATCCTGCCATGTCTTCTGGTCTCATGTGATGTTATTTCTGTGTGCAGGTTTGGGATATATACAGTATATATCTGATATGTATCTGTCGTTTATGTGCATAAAAAATTAAAAAAAATCCTCACATGCTATGGGTCAGAGATTGGAGGAGATACATTCATAATTGCACTGCTGGAGTTTATTGTACTGTAGTTGGTCATGGGGATACACTTTTGTTAGGTTACATCCCCAACCTTCCTTTATTGCCAAAAAATAAGATTAATGGTTATCACAGGGGAGTACTATTCTCTTCCAAGCTTGGTTCATGCAATCTATTTTTTTTACTAATGGCTTCAGAGGTGTCTACTTCACAGTCTCGTCCTAAATCCATGCACCATTAGGCATGGATTAACTGTCCTAACCGTCCTAACCGGTCATAGGCCATAGGCATGGCCTATGTTGGGCCATGCCTATGGCCTCTTCTTATGTTGAACTTAGGCCTCTTCCTATGTTGAACTCATTTATTTATCTTTTGTTCTCTGGCTGTGTGGTGCTTAATTTAAGAAAGCTCCTTGGCAGTCACTTGTGATGGTGAGGACTTACAAAGGACTTTTGCTTTTAAGAGTACTTTGTGGAAGGCATTGTGGACTGTATGTTCTTCAGTGCCTTCTAAGTACCAGTATGACCCCCTGCAGGAGTACCTGTTGTATACCTGTCTATGATTTCGAGGATCAACATTCCATCGGCCTGGTCTCTGACCAGGCCTCCTGATTGGTGGTCTGATCATCCAGGCTGTTTGATGGTGTTACTTGCAATCTGACATATAAATCACAGACTGGTTGAAATGCTCCTTATGGCAGCAGTGCAGAATGTTGCCCTGCTGTGTTATGATTTTGTTCTAATAACCCAGTGGGATCTTACATTAGGTAATAACAAAGTGTTATGCTCAGAATGTTATTTATTTATTTATATTCATTCACTGTACTTATTTATTACTCAAAACCTTGTTTATAATGCTAGTACTGTACATGATTATTTTAATATGAATTTACAAGCAAAGTAAATTTCAGGTGGGTAATAAGAAAGTCAGAAGAAATTTAAAAGGTCATGGAGCTGTGAATAAATTACCGGTGTTGAAACCTATTGGTAGATCAGCAGCCAAAATCTCCGAAGAATATCTTAATGGTTCTTTGGAAGATCATTTTGGGGAAGATGATAGTGAGGAGTTTGCAGAATATGGAGATGATGACATAAGGAGTCGATTGAATGTACATGACAAGATACCTTCTGGCATGAAGAGGTAATGAGAATTGTTGTTTGATAAAAGCTTATTGTAGAGAAACAAAAGATAAAAGTAAACTTTCTAAGAAGAGATACACCACCATTTTAATCTCATCCTTTCCCTGTTTTGCTCCTCTATAAGCATGATTCCTTCTATCTGCTAGATAGACAGTGTTCATGCTTACAGATGATAAATTATCTGCAAATTACAGTACTGTACTGTACTGTAATGTGTATTCTTATATTGGTGTTTCTCTACATTGTCAGCATGTCATGCTCTTCATTACCTAAACATTCATTATTCATTTCAGGTTAGTAGATAATACAGTATATGATTTATACATTATATGACATTCATGTTGTGTGTTTTATAATTATTCAAAAATGTATATATATCTTTTGAAAATGTCATTATCCAAGAATGTAACCATTCTGATACTTTATTTTGTATGTTTCAGGCTTTCAACTAGAAAACGAACTGTAAGGTGTTACCTGTGTGAGAGAATGTTTCATAGTGTGCGTGAACTGATGGCTCATATGAGAACAGATCAGCCATATTCAGACCAACGTGTAGAATGCAAGAAGTGTCAGCTAGTATTGCCAAGTGTGTGTGCAGCAAAGGCTCACATCCTTACGCACCCACCAGCCAATACTTCCAATATGTCTGTGTGTCCGGAGTGTGGTAGTAGATGTGATGGTCCGAGAGAATTTGTACATCACCTTAATACGTGTGGACATCAGTTTCGCCGTTCTGGCATTGTGTGTACTGAGTGTCAGGTGTGTTTCTTCAAGTCACAAGATGATTTCTTGACACATTGGATTGCTGAGCACTGTGCAAAATCCTATGAGTGCGTGGTATGCCGCAACACCTTTGAGAGCTTAGTATTTCACAAATGCACATCACCAGGGCAGCATGTCTTAGCAACATTCCGGTGTCTTTTAACGTGCCCTCTTTGTTCTCTCGCAGTTCAGCTACATGCACAAGAAGAACGTGATACTAATGCCAAGATCAAAGCTCATTTAGCAGATGCTCATCCTTCCATAATAACAAGAGTTCACTATGTTTATAAGTCTAAATTTTGTACAAATGCTTTTCGCTCCAAAGATGAGTTAAGAGCACATCATGACCGTGAACATCGACGAGACAACCATTACCGCACAAAAACTTGTACGTTGCATCATGAGGTCTTGGGCTATCAGCATCAGTATTTTAATGGTCAAGAACCGAGGAATGCATTTGTAACATTGCCTGTAGCTCTAAGTGCTGAAGAGCTGCACGAGGCACGGATACGGGATGTCCCTACTGTCAGTAGTGTCATTGATAAAACTCTCTTTCCAGACATAACTACTCAAGAAAGTGGAAAAACTGGAAAGGTAGAAAGACACATTAAAAATAAAGTTGCAAATAAAAGTTCTCCTAAGGAAGTTGACACAAAGGAGACTTCATTGAAAGATAGCCCAGCCAAAAAAGATATGGATCAATTGGATAAGTTGCGACCAAAAGTTTGTTATCGTTGTGGGTATAAATACGAAGACAACAAGGACTTTAGGCGGCATAAACGAACATGCGAAGGTGAGTCAGCTGAGCGACATTGTGAGATTTGTGGTATGGTTGCTATTGGTGAGGATTTTGCACGTCATTGTCTTGGTCATATACAGGATGGCGCTGTGTTGTGTATATACTGTAATGGTTCCCAGTTCAACAATTCTAATGACTTAGAACAACACTTTGAACTACATGTGCATGAGCAATTTTCATATCCAGCTACTTGTGCTTTTTGTTGCACATCACTGCCAGATGTGCCTTCAGCATTAGCACATCTAAATGAAGAGCATGATCCACTCCATGTTCCGTTTGATACTTCAGAATTTGAGTGCGATCGTTGTGGCCGTCGCTTCCACGGTGAAAGAGGTTTAAGTGTTCATTTGGGACGTTGTACACTTGGAACAGCAACACCTACTCCGTCTGCTGGGTGTCGACAGTGCCAAGTGTGTACTAAAGCACTTACACCAGAAATGTTTGGCCGCCATCTGGTTTGTCATCTGGAGGAAGGGTTGTTGGTGTGCAGCTTGTGTGATGGACGTACTTTACCCTCTAGTATGGCCCTTTTACACCATTTAGAGGAACATGCAGCTGCTCTGGCATACCCAAACTCTTGCCCTATGTGTTGCTTTGCAATGCAAGATGAGAGTTCAGCACTCATTCATCTCAAAGAAGAACATGGTTTTGGAAATTTACACTGTGCAGAGTGTGATATGCATTTCAACTTCACGTATCAACTTCAGCGTCATACAGACATAGTTCATAAGATATGCCAGTATGCTAAACGAAGGTACATTTGTTGGATATGCAGAGCTTATGATCATGTTAAGAAAGAAACGCTCATGAACCATTTCCGCACAGTTCATGGGCTTGATCGAGAACAAGTGGATGAGAAGGTGATGATAAGGACACGGGGTCAGGGAACTATGCCAACCTCACAATTCATACCCACTAAACCTCTCGGTAGTAAAGAGAATCCAGGAACTTCCTCGGCAAGCAAATCAGATTCAGAAAATGTGCTTTTTAAGTCTCAGAAGGAAAAACCGAAGAGCTCACCAGACAAGACTTCAACAATTGAATCTCCAAGTAAACAGCATAGCAACAAATCTTCCCAAAGCTCGTCTGTGAAAAGCTCACCTGTGAAAAGTTCACCCAACAAACCTTTCAATTCTCCAAATCTGAAAAAGGTGTCTACTAGGAAATCAGATTCAAAATTGAAGGACAAAAATAAAGTGTTGATAAAGCGGTTGCCAGATTCAATTCTAGATGAACAGTCTAGATCAAAGAGAAGAAAAGTATTAAGCAATGATGAAGTAAAGATGGATCCAGATATTGAAGTCAAGAAAGAAGGAAAAAAGAGAAAAAGAAAGAAAGCTTACAGGTGTAATATTTGTTCATTTGGCACCAATTACAAAGACAAGCTTGACAATCACATCTTAAAGCATAAACAACTTGGGGAAGAAACCGATTCTGATGGATTTGTTTGTCGTGAATGTGGTGCTTCGTTTGTTGTGGAACCATCTCTTGCACGCCATATGTTTTTTGCTCACAAAGTGAAACTTCAGGTGTCCAGTGCTGATGAAAATGAAGACAATGACAAAAGTGTTAGTGAAGTCAAAAGAAAAAGAACTTTAGTGAAAGAACCAAAAGTTATAAAAGAGGAGAAAGAAAATGAAATAAGTACTAAAGAGCTGATAGTAGAGAAAGATGTTAAAGAGGAAAAAGACTCGGCCACTATTAAAGATGAGAATGATGTTGTTACTAAAAGGAAGACGGCGAGAGTTACTACAAAGACAAAAATTGAAAAGGAAACGATCAAGAAGCAGTTGGACATTAGAAATAAAAAGAAAATAGAGGGAATAATTAGAAAGAAAGAAGCAAAGGGCATAGCAAAAAAAAAAGTGGAAAGAGTGATCACAAAAAAAAAGCTGGAAAAGTTGACACCAAGAAAGAGAATGGTGAAGGCAGCAAGCAGGAGGAAAGCAGAGAGGGATCTTTTAGCTAAAAATATAGAGGAAGGACTGGACGATATATATGATCATCAGTGTGTTGTGTGCAAGGAGGAGTTTATAAACCCGGTTGAGTTGTACAGTCACTTGCGAACTCATGGCATGGCTTTCCTCAAATTGGGACGCAAAGCCAGACCTTTGGGGATGGCAAAATCACCGGATTGATGGGATAATGATTGCCTTTCTGAGCTTAGGCCACCTATTCACTCCCTTAGACAATATTTCATTCCTCCACAGAACTTGCTAATTCCAGCCTGGGTCATATCGATCATTTCTCACCTTATTGTAGTAGGGCTCTCTTTTTTTTCTAAATGCCCCCACTAGGTCATACATGAGCCTGTTCTCTCAAGTTGCCACTCTATTATATAAAATGAAAGTTATGCCTAACCAGAAATGTACAAACCTAAGCATCTCGTCTGTCAAGGCCAATTTATAGAAAATATTAGTTTTAGTACTTCAATGGTTACTAATGTCTCATTTTAAATGGTTGGTTGATTCCATTAAAAATGTAATGTAGTATGTTAAAGGATAGGTTGCATACATGGAGGAAGGAAGACAGATTTCTCAATCCCGCCCTGAATGATAGACTACATTTCTATGGACAGAACTGGTCATGTTAAAAAAAAAAAAATCATTAGTGAGCTCGCATTCTTTTCAGGCTTTCCTTGAGCTACACCTACCAATCAGTGAGTTTAGTGATTTCACTCACCCCGAGACCTTGTTTTGTTTTGTGCTGTGGGCCTACTCTTTAGTGAACATTTCATGTTTGCATTGTATCTTTGGATCAGTAAAGCTAGAGACACACAGTGTGGGCAGAGTTTTTTTCAGTGTCAGCTCAGTATTGCATTCAGCTGGGCCTGTCAACTCTTAGTTTGCAATTTATCACATAACTGCCATCAGGTCTTGCACTATGGTGTTGGGCTGCATGCAAACATTAGCAGTTTCTTCGATCATGGTGTCACTTGTGTGCATTCATGATTCATTTGACTTTTAGGTCTCACTTTTTAGTGTTATGAATTCGTTTTGTTTTGAAAGTCATTTTTGTTTGATTTAATTATGTGGATTCTTCTCTGGTTGGTAATAGCTACTGGGTGCCTACTTCAGGTTTGCTCTTTGGCAGGATTTTCTGGGACCCCATCTATATTTTAATTTGTGGGCTATCCCAAGCATTGCAGCCATTAACATGGAACTTGGGCTAATGGGTAATTCTATTATTATAGTTTTATAGGGTACCATACAATGTTCTTGACACATCCATCCCTGCTTTCTTTGGCACTTGTGTTCAGTACAGGTTTTGTGTTCAGTACAGGTCTATCTTATTTCTCGAGTGTGTCACGTCCATCCATCCATTTAATACACCATTGGTACTTGATTGCTGGAGCGTGTAATGGACATCCTGTACTCTCCACTTCTAGGCTGGTGAGCTGCGTGCTTTTCTGTATTATCCTAACCTTTATCTTTAGTTGTGCCTTTGTTTCACCTTATCTGGTTCCCTTTTCTGACAAAAAAAAAGAGATATCTTCATTCTGGCAGAGTCCTATTCTGGTGCAGGCATGGTTTGTTTATACGAATCTATTACTCATGCCTCTTGAGGTCTGTGGCTTCTCACTGGGAGTGACTGAGTGGTCCTCATAAATAAGATATTAAATATAGATGAAATGCTTCTTTCTGAGCTGGTCACATGCCTGTTTCTGTGGCCTCCCTTTTATTCTGTCTTACCCTGTACCTTTTTCCTGTGGGTGTTTTGGGGTGAAAGTGAAGTGGGATTGTTGGCAAATTCTGTTTACATGACCTAGTAGCAGAGCCATGCTTGGAAGTCTCTCTGATTTCAAGTACTGCTTGCAGAAGGTTTTATGTGTAAAGAAATGTACCTTTTGACTGTCATTCAATGCTGGACTGAGAATTCTCTACTGTCCATTACTTCATACATGACCTGGTGGGGGTGATTGGATAAAATCCCTGCAATGATGGAAATAAGAAGGGTGATGTGATCCCTGGCTGGATATAACAGTGTTCCTGGTGTAGCAGGAGCATGATTAAGGAAGTGATGAAGTGACCAGAGCAGAAAGGAATGTGTCACCTACTCACGACGCCTTATTTTTATGTTTTTACAAGTGAGGTTTATTATGTAAATATAGGTTTGAAGGATCAGACTGTGCTCAAAGCTACATTTATATGCGATTGATTCTAGTGAAAGTGATAATCTAATTAAATTAAATTGGCTTTTAATACTTTGTAGCTGTGAACTGTAGTTGTATGGAGGTACAAAATTCCAGTTACATTTGCTGTACAGTATTTGTAATTTGCAGCCGTATAACTAATGTCACATTGTTGTAATTTTTATTTTAAAATCTTACAAAATATTATGAAGTACTCTATGAAGCTTTGTTTCTCTGTTGACAATAAGACATACCTAAGCCTGGAGTTTCCAGTGGTACTTGAAACTGTACAATCTGTCCAAGTAATTATAACATTGTACACTCTCTGTTACCGTACATAGTTTGTTTTAATAAATGAAGCATCAATATTAGGCTTGTCTAGATTGCTGCCAAAGTAGGTATATTTCTATTTAGCTGTAAAAGTCTAATGGCATAAAAAAAAGAATTTGAAATATAAATTGTAAATTATAGTTTAAAATACTTACTATTGTTTATACAGTAATAAAAAATTGTCTTATGGAATGTTTATCTGAGTATAATTTGTTGGTTATATTGAAATTATAATTTATAGGGCAAAAGAATATAGATGCAATATCATTTAGGGAATTAAATTTTTTTTTATTTTGAATAGCAATATTTTTGTCTACTTATTCTCATTTAAATTTTACTTTAATCACTAAGTTGAGACATTTAGTTTTGTCTACAAATTTTATTTTCCAGTTAGGTACATGTTGTCTAGTCATGTCTGGCTGTCCTACAGTCATATTGGTTTGTGTTACGGTATTCGATGTCTGTTATCACATTATTTCACATTTTCCTTGATATATTTTGCTGCTTTCCAACCAGTTTGTCCAACCACTTGGACTAGACAGTAGAGTGCCGGCATCACTTCTTACAGGTCTGCATTCGATCCCTGCCCATCCAAGTAGTTGGCACCATTCCTTTCCTATGTCCTAACCTAAATCCTTATCCTCATATCCCTTCCAAGTGCTATATAGTCATACTGGCTTAGTGCTCTCTCCTTATAATTACCTTACCTTTAAAGTAGTTTGTTATGGACTATAATTTGGCAATGCACAGGCATCTTCTGTATTGTTTATGAAAATTACTGTACAATATTGTGATATTTTAGAAAGTTTTGTTTTATAGGCTCTCCATTTTTATTTTGACTAAGTATATTGCTATTCTCAAGTGTCATCATTTATTATACTACGGCTTCTGTCTAGCTTGATATTTGTTATTGTGTATTGCTCTTAAAATTTATTTTGGTATCAGATTTTTATAGAAATTACAATTAGCCGTCTTTGACCTTGTAGTACGAGAATATATCTAGACTGCTTCCATAGGCCTTCTTGCCCTCAGAAATTAAGAATATTACAAATAGTTTAATTTGGTTATTTTGTTAATTTTTTAAATAAATATTAATAAAAAGTTTTGTTTTGTAGTAAAGCCAAGAGCAGTACAGTACAATGTACTTCTTTATTTGCAAGATTAACTGCTGCTGTTCTGTCTTTGGTGACTTAGAACCTTCACATGACAAACACCTTTCACAGTACGGTATGTATATAATTGTTAGAGATCATTCACAGAAATGCTTAAGAACATGTAAAAAACTAAATAAGGCAGCTATATTTTTCATAAAGACTCAAAGACCTTATAGTTTGACCAAAAGGCATTCATACAGACGTTCTTATGCATTTTTTTACTACAGTAGTGTAAAAGGCAAGATTTTATAAGTTGCTAATATGCATGTTTAAAGTACAAAATTTGACTCGTGTAAAGCATATACAGTACAGTACTACTATTACAAGGAAGCTTTTAATTTTGTTCAGCAGTTATAATGGATGTTGCAGGATATACTTATAGTTTAATAACATTATGCAGGACCCAAGGCACAATAACATGGCTGAAAATTACACACTGAGCCCACAAATCTGAAAACAGAGAGTGGCAATGCTTCTGTCAGTCCTGGACCATTATAAAGTTGAACCATTACACAACTTTATAGTGGTCCTGGATGGACCAAATGTCATTTTCTATATTTTCAGATTTGTGGGTTGGGTGTCGTAATAAGATTATCTAAATCTGAATTAATCTCCTCCAACCCCACAGGCATCATGATCAGGTTCTCAATAAGTAACAGACTGAAAAATGTGTATTTTGCTATATAAAGTAGTACTGTAAAAATTCAAATACTTAAATTTTTGTCTTAGAAATTAAACACATTCATGTGAACTTGAAGTATAGCTTACTCATAAACATACCAATTGTTACTGGCTTAACAAAACAAAAATGCCCTTAATTATTTCTTGCTGAAAATGTGTAAGTCTTTAACTAAAAGAAGTTGAAGGAAATTTTTAGATATCCTCGTGTACCTACCCAGTGGGCACAATATTCAAGTGGCGTTGGTTTGACATTGAATCAACATTTTTAATGTTAATTCAGCATTGAATCGGCTTTGATGACATTGATTCGCTGTTGAATTGGCATTGCTCTTGAATATTGTGCCCACTGGGTAGTACTGTACCGTTTTGTGGTCATAAAGTAAATTATTTGTCCGTGGTTCTCACAGCTAGAGGCTGTTTAGCCCGAGACAAATTCCAGATTTTATTTAGCACATTGCTGTAATGTGAAAAATCAATGTAAAAATACAACTAAAAAAAAATAGTAGAAGCTGTACTTAAAAAAAAAAAGTAAAATTTCATTGGTTCTAGTGTTAAAGCTTGTGTGTCAGTTTTTGTAGTAGAATATCCCTCGAGGTTCCCTGACTACCTTTATATTTGAAACGTGCCGTTTTCCACCCAACCTGTCCTCTCGAATAGTACTGTACATTGCATTTTGAATTATAAATTCCCAACTTCAAAATAAGATGTACATACTGTACTATAAATCATTGCGGTTTGGATAATTGACCGACTGTCTCATTTTTTATTTGTGGGTTCTTGGTTAGGTTAGGTTCGGAGAATTTAGTACGTCATTTTTGTGATGATGTGACATCTCGAGAGGACGGGCTGCTGCTCCACACTCGGTGCTCGCCATTATTTTATATAATCTTGCGTCTCATATTTATAGCCGTGATGGTGTTTTAAAATTTTAATAAACATTAATTTGTTCAAAGACTATGATGAAACTACTTGATCTTTATCATGGTGTTATGTATTTATTGAAAATTATAAAACAATATAGATCTTTTATGAAAACATCCACTAACCTGCAGTTATATCATTGTCCATCCAAATACTGCCATTGATGCTACTAATGAGAGTTTTCTTGATGCTGCTTCTGCTGTTTGGAGATATCACCTATAGTATGTTCCTTGTGTTGTTTTTTTAACTAACCAACTTAAGTTACACAACATGATGTAGTGTAACCCAATCTAAACAAACCTAACCCAGGCTAACACAACCTAATCTAAACTATCCCGAGAATAGCATTTGAGATAAATTTGTTAAATTATTTATTGAGAAATGTGTTCATGTCATTGAGCAGCTTTCTCCAAAGAAGGGTGCTCTTCTTGTAACCCCTTTCTGGACAAAGCTAGGCAAATGATGTTATGTAAAGATGAATCACTGTGGATGATATTAATCCTCTGTTAATTAAAAGTTATTTGAGCATGGTTTACATGCTGGGAATAATGCTATTTATGGGTCAATTTAGTTTAGCTTACCGTAGCTAAAGCTTTGCTTCAATATCTGGCTCGGTGTCAATTTAGATATCAGTTCACATTGAAATATGCACAGAAGGAAGAGTTAAACTTGTAAGTTGATAAAATCTCACAATGTGACGTATGACAATAACTGGAGGATTCTTCATTGAAGTGAATTCAAACTGGAGGATTCTCAGCTAGCAGTAAGTAGGTACTCAGGAGTTAGCTTGTTTTGGGGTTGCATCCTAGGCAGAAGGGGGGGGAGGGGCTCAATGTAAGCCTAACGTGTGTGAATACATTCTGGCTTCCTGTCCCCCGACAATGAATTATTAATTATTTCAGAGGGGTTGCTTTTAGTTGGGGTATTAGTGTGTTAATGCAAACATATGTTGGACTTTAATGATTGACTGAAACTACAAGATGATAGCATGGTTATTGTGCTGGGGAATATGAATGTATGGGCATAGAATGAACGCTGACATGATGTTGGAGAGGAGTGTGCCAGGTGTAAATGAGAGCTGGTTATTCTTGGTAGATGTGTGTTTGGGGGGGTTTGTACTATTAAATACTTTCTTTGAGCAAAGGAGTTTGTATACAGCATACAGTATATATTGACAGATGTCAAAGCTTTGAGGGTCATAAGAGGAATGTTTACGAGGTTAAACAATTATGCAATGTTGTGCAAAATTTGGGTGAGTAAATGGCAGATTTTCTGACCAGAGAAAATGAGTAGTGTCTTAGTACAGTATATGGATTTGAGATAGTGAAAGAAAGCCTGAAATTAAAGATTAGGTAAAATATTAGACTATTCCACTGGCCTTCTACAACCTCTGGTAATTCTAAAATGTTTTTACAGTTGCCATTTTTTTACCATTGGCAAGTTGGTCTTGAATACATGTATTCACCATTAGTAATATTGGACATGTCAACAAATGCCCCAACAGCCTTCCCTCTATTTTACCTTACCTGGACTGTATGTTACCTTTGTATAACATAATATCTTTTGTAAGAAATGTACCAATTCATTGCTCTTAAATTTATGATTTAAAAAGCAGTAATTGGTACAGTATTCATTTCCCATACAATCTTTCCATTATCTTCCATATTTCTTCTCTCACATCACTTGGTCCATCTTTATGCAATAATATTTTCCATACATCCCTTTTCATTAAAAATAACCTGACATTTTCACAATCGTACACTCCCCTTTCCATTATCTTGTAACCACACATTTTCAATTTTCAGTGTTTTGTTCCTAACACAGCACATACCCATTTTAAATTTAATGTCATTTTATCTTTTACCAAATCTTTATCATAATTTTACTTCCCCTCCCTCCCAACTGTCTTATTGCACTTGGTTAGAAAGCCCATCACCTACTTACCCACATTTTGCACAATATTGCAATGTTGTGCCAAATTTGACCCCACAAACATTTATCTAAACTATCCATGAGTCTTCCATAATACCTTTGCATATTTTTTCTACATGTACATAATCAAGCTCCTGCTCCATTTCATCCCATTTGCCTTCATGTATACTTACCTATGTATGAATGTATTTTTGAGCATATTTGACCGGAACAACCCCCATTTATTACTGTAACACTAACTTCACACCTTGACCTTCTATATGACCCCATTTAAGTATACAGGTAACAACATTCAAGAAGTTGTACAACACTGGTGTAAAGCTGTGTTTATATCAGCCATTCACTTACTGCTTCGTAAATTCTCCCACACACCTGGAGAGGGTTCTGGGAGTTCTACTCCCAGAGCTCGGCCTGAGACTAGGCTTGACTTCCTAAATAAAATTGCTAAGTTATGCAATTGCATTCCAACCTATATTGTACCTGTATTTTAAAAATTTTGAAAGTGAGGGTCATGAATCTCAAATTGGAGCCCACCAACCTATTTGGCATGATATCCACTAATGGTTAATCTGGCCTTGGGAATAAGTGTGGCAATATATTTTTGTACTTTATTTTTTATATTGTTAATATTTTCTACATTACTGTATCATTTTTTTGTGTATTTCATATTTGGCATTATAACATTCCAAGGTTATTAAAGAAAACAACTGTAGACCATGAAATTTAATGATAAAAATATATTTTTATGTAGCATTCATGTATAAATTATTGCTGTCTCTTCATAGTTCAAATTAAGGATAAGAATAATAATTCAGCAGCAACATTGCAATATATTCTTATGTTGAGTACTGACATAATAAATAAACTGAAACAATGTTATAAGCTATCATAAATCTCCAAATTGCCTAGAAAGTTGTGGACCCTTTTTGAATTTCTTTTTCTTTTTGCCTTTGTTGGAGGGTGGCAGACCATTTCCTGTAGAACCTCCTTGTATTTGTTGGGTAGTCCTCTTGGAGTATGGGTTGGTGTACAGGGCATCTTTTTCTACAATCCCTAATTCCTGTGATACCTGTGTGGATGTTACGTTCCATTACTTTTCCAGACTTTTGTCTAGATATTAATTCTAAATTTAACTGATTTAACAATGATATATTAATTGAAAAACAAGAATGAAGACCTAATCAGCTCAATATCCATGTGTAATGTTAATTCAAATTTGAATCATTGCTGAATAAACAAATTTAACATTGATTTAACTTGAATACTGTCTCCATTGGGGACTTCCAAATACTTTACAAATACTGAACTTGAAAGACTGAGCATGAAACATGCTGAAAGGTTAAACTACAGTACCAATTAAAATGAAATAGTGGACATTAGTAATTTTCATATTTAACTACAGTACAGAATTTATGACTAATACCCTTAGTTATTAAAAGCCTGGCATCTCACAATAACATGAAATATTGGTAATAAATGGTGGCTTGCTGAAGTATAGAGGGGGTTGGTGGCAGGCTTTTTTCTCTGACAGTCTTTCTTTAACCACTGCACTGCGCAAAGCGCCTTTAGGCGCTCAGAGAGTTGTGCTTTTTGTTTTTTAATTTGGCTATATTTTAATGTTTTTTAATGTTTTCATTACTATTTGTGTTTTGAAATGGAAATAGTTGACTTTGGAAACATTTTGACATTAAATTTACCTGAACATTTGTAAAAATAACAAAAATATGTCCTTGACAATTGCACCAAGACGTTTTTGCCGAAAATAGGTGAGCAGTGCAAGGGTTAACTTTGCTTCTATTATACACATTGGTATAATTCTAGAATATTTTACACTAAAATAATTAGAAATTATTTCTTGGGACACTGCCCAATATCAATACGAATCTCAGTTTTCTAAGTGTTGTATGTTTTAGGTCAGTATGATGAGGCTTTTGCAAGATATGGCACATCAGAATAGAGCAATACAGCACAATAACTACTTTATGATTATTATGCACCCCATACCCATCCCATGGTCGGTGGTGGAAAGGATTACAGAGGCACACAGTAATCGGTTCAGGAACTGAATCCTAATTTGTCAACAGTACTGATAATTTTTGGGTGGAGCTAGAGTATTATCAGCCCTTGCATTGTGGTGGTACATGCGTTCAAATACTGTGCAAATTAAACAATTAAGAGTGTAGTACATGAAATATATACAAGTTTTGGAAACTTGTATTTATTTAACACAATTCATAAAACAAAAATAAAGGTTAGCTTAGTCTTAGCTTATCATGAATAAGTAACTGGTCTACTGCATTCTCTATAACTCTTCAGTTTTCTTCTCCCTCCACAGCACATACAAAATAATAAAAGCCTGTGATGTTTTAAATTTTGTTTGCAGTGTTAACATCAGGTTCTTCATTTCTTCACCTTTCTTTGCAACAAGAGTTCCTTGACATTTAATAGGTGCAGGAAAATAATCAACACAGCTTGTTTAAAATAAGAAATATTTGTTAAATCATATGGAGCTTAGAAAACATTGCATGCACTGTTGTAGAAACAAGGCGATGTTTATTATGCTCTGCTCCTCATGTTATCATAACCTAACTTAGTTCCTTTCAGACCCCACTCAGTGAGTGGGTTGTCACTCCTGTGACAACTTTTATCAGCATGACTCCATATACACGTAATGCAACAAGGACCAGCTCGGCACTGGAATTACAGTACAGGTAGTTAAAAATATACTAATGTGTATATTGTAATTTACAAACATCCCTGTAGGGTTATAGAAGTTCAAATGAACCACTGGAGAATACACACTCCAGCCTGAAATAGCCAGAAGTTAATCCATAAAACTCAAAAGATCTTCTGAGCCCCACTCTTGACATCACAGGTGATCACTAAACGCGGGAACTAGTGGTTAGACTGTCTAGCCGCCTCTAGAAACCACTATTAGGAGGCAATGCCTGGCCACACCCAAATTGAAAAACAATAATGCAAAAAAATAAATAAATAAATAAATAAACCCAAAAATGAACAAAACTAGAGTTTATATGTAGAGAACAAGTTGCAATAATGTAGGTGAAATGACCCAAAACTACAGCTGTGCATTACAGAAAAGATGGTGAAGAGAACATAACAGGAAATATTTCTCAACAGAATGGTGGATGGTTGAAATAAACTCAAGGTGGTGCTTATATACTAACCCACCAAGTTTTAAACCTGTTTTGGATACATTTTACAAAGACACCATTACCATAGCTCTTTACCTTAACTTAAAATATGTAGTAAAACATTCTTCCATATTCTTTCATTCTTCCTTTCATATACCACACACTATACAGTACTTCCTATACACATACAGTACTCCAATTTTGCACAGTTAAATGTTTAATGATACATACCAAATGAATGAACTTGTTTGTATTCTTATCCAGGAATTTGGACTGTGTTGCAAAGAATGCCCCCCATGTAAAGATCAATTTCCAAGGCTTATTATCTTGCAGAAGGTCATGCATTATGTCTGGGAGATGCAACAGCAGCTCACCCATAAAAGCTGTATTTTCCAAGGTCTGAGACAAAGCTGAAAACAAAAATAGTGAAATGTATTAAAATGCTCTTTTTCTGGGCACGTACCTCAGTAACTTCCCTCAGCTTATGCCACTAAAAGCATATATTGAACATACCAGGCTCCTGTGACACACTTCACCCACAAGGGCCTATATAAACTTCCTCCACGAGGTGAGGAGCACGGAATCAGTGACAAACCCAGTTCTTAGGGAAGTAGCCATAAAAGCATAAAAAAAAAGTTACGAAACTACCTACTATCCTCTAGAATATACTTGGCAATTGCCCAACTACTGACACAAATCTCTGCCAACAATCTAATGCCATGGAAAAATAAAAAGACGGCAATGATGAGAAGCTACTGAGGTGCCACCCAGAAAGGTTAATTTCATTGCATCGAGTACTTTATTTCTGGACAGGTTGAAACAGAGTGCAAGAACAAGACAATGAAAACATTTTAGCTGGGAGCCCAATACACATGACCTACCAAATCAAAGAAAAACTGAACACAAGAGAAATGATGGCAATCTCTGCAGGAACAAAAATATATCCTTCAATGTGCCAGGCAAGTGGGGTAGTCTTATCTGAATCCTGGGTGGCCCATGCCTCCACCTGGTGGTGGGAGACATGGGCCTCCTTGTGCTAAATGCTACAGTCTTTAGCATTTAAGTCTTTAAATTGCTAAAGACTGTATGTCATTAGCATGTTAGCAGAAATTAGGTTTGGTTCAGCAATTGCCAAACATGTTTCAGAGGAAGGCCAAGAATTTTGTGATCTTTTTGATGAGAGCCGTTTATCTCGGTACTGGATTGATCTCTAATCCCTTCCCTGTTGAGAGGCCAATGGTAATATGCATATGCATTTATTCCTGGCATGTATAGTATATTCTCTAAGTGTCGATGACATAGATAGACTGCACATGAATGTTAAAATCTCTTCACAACCAAATCTCTACAACAATAGTATCTAGTTCACAATCAAATACACCTGTATTATAGAAGAACTGTCTCTGAAGTTTTGCTTGCTGAATTCAAGTATTTGGATCATCAGGTATTTTAGGAAATTGCCAAAAAAAGACTTTTGTAAAATGTAGAGCATTATAATAATGATGCTTTTTTGGACTAGTGAACATCAGCTTTGATAGGTTTGGTGGATTGCTAAGGTCCATTCTGTATTGGTTAGGCAAAAATTACTAAAAACTTTAGTTTATGCTTGTTAATTAAATAGTGAGAACAGGTTGCTTCATTGTTGTCAGGTGTCTAATGGTCTCAAGACAATACAGTACTGTACCTGTAAGCCGTGTTTAATTTAATATGGGAGATGGAGGGTTTGTATACAGTATCTCACAGTTGGCTTCATTCTCTACCCACAACTGGGAATCCTGGGAGGGATAAAAATGTTTGGGCACATTTTCTTTCACCTAATCCTCTGTTTACCTAGCAACAGAGACAGATACCAAGGAGTTAGGGGTTGTGGGGGTTGCATCCTGGGGAGGGGTCAGTAGTTCGAACATGGGAGGACCTCAATACAACCTTAAAGTATATATATACTGTACACACAGGCTTCCTTGTCCCTGACAAAAATTATTACTTTCATATATTATTCATATCATTATTTTACAATATGTTAATTTAAAACTGGACTATTAATCTCTGAGGCATATTTCTGTACATTTCGTGCAGAAATGTACGAGCATGAATATCGGAAACTGATGGCAACTGTATTCCAAAATAAAAATGTTAATATCTCTCCGATACCTTGATAAACAACACACATGCAACAAAGCCATTCAAAACTTACCATCCCGCACCTTTTCCTCTTCAGGAAAATCCATGCCTGGGATGTAGCCAGCCTCTCTTAATGTCACTTGACTTTGTTCCAAAACCTATTGTGAAAGTATCCTTAATTTTAATACTGTATAAAAAAATTATTATAGTTAAGTAGACTTCACTTCATTATATACAATGATAGACTAAAAACTATTCTCAAAATTAAAAAGATGCATATGAGATGCTCAACACAAAGTAAAACCCACCATGTAGATTTTCTCAAGGTTGTCTAATTTGATATTACAGTACTGTAAAAACATATCTACATTTAATATATTATTACATATGAATTTTACTGCGTGGTAATTTCACTTAGGAGGTACATATTACATGCCAATGAGAAATTTTATGGGAAAATTTTTAAAGGATGAATTTTATTAAAAAAAAATGTGAATTGCAAACTAAAATATACATTAACATTTACAAGAAAGCAAAAAGTGTGGAATACACTGGACCATATTAAACTCCCTCCTTCGTGTATTTTTATGCTGGAGAAGACATCCAGGATTGACCAAGATATATTGACTGTACTCCCCACTTCCAAGGGCTAGGGCTAGGTTGATCAGTTAAATATCTTTGGTGATGTATTGAGATCACATACAAACAAATATTTACCTAAAGCTTGCATAATACTTTACAACCACTCTACAGTACTGTACTACCATTCTTTAAATACAGCAATGTACTGTACTGTACAGTGCTACTACTAATACCACATTATAATCTGTTGGCTTAAAACCTATAATGGAAATGATTACAAAAATGTATAAATGGTACTGACCTCGAATGCTTTTCTAGCAACAATATCCACCATCTTTTGCTGTTTTATAAAATCTCTCAAGTTCATTATGGTTTCAGCAGCAGCTTTGTGTTCCGTTCGTCGCTGCTGGAACAAACTTTGGACTGCATCTCGATTAAGGACGGATACACAATATTAAGCATTACTATACAAATTGTACATAGAAAAGTAGAGAAACAATCTTTATTGTACTTATGCCTCTTTAAACTTAAAACTATCTTAGTGATGCAGCACAGTGGTAGCATGCTTGCCATGAGTGATTTTGGCCAGCTTCGAACCCTGGGCACTGAGTTAATCTGTGGGTTATGTTCCACAGAAAACTAGTAGGGTAAGGCTCAAGATGAGCTGCAGCAAGGTAAAGCTCTCAGCCTGTTAAAAAGATTGTCATAGTCTTCCTACCCATAAGAGATCATGAAATTATTAAATGATGTAAATTAAGTTGATGAATATGTGTACCTTATTTGAATACTTTTTTTTTTGAGATATATACAAGAGTTGTTACATTCTTGTACAGCCACTAGTACGTGTAGCGTTTCGGGCAGGTCCCTGGAATACGATCCCCGCTGCAAAGAATCGTTTTTACAACCAAGTGCACATTTTACTGTTGCGTTAAACAGAGGCTACAGTTAAGGATTTGCGCCCAGTAAATCCTCCTCGGCCAGGATACGAACCCATGACAAAGCGCTCGCAGAACGCCAGGCGAGTGTCTTACCACTACACCACGTAGACTGGTAAATATTAATAAAGCTAAAGTAATAAAAAGCTACTAGAAGTATATTATTATAATTATTATATAATATTATAGCTATAATATTATTATTATTATATAATATTATAGCTATAATATTATTATTATTATATAATATTATAGCTATTATAAAGTAATACAAAGTAAAATAAAGCTAAAGTTACAATGTATAAAAAGGATACAAATTTTAACTCGAGTTGAAACAGATTTTTCGTGCTGCCCTTGGACTTGGCTGTCATCTGTATAACAATTATGACAAAAAATGATAAAAATAATCAAACTTAAACAGTTTCCCAAATCCATCACTCTACACGAAGTAATCGTAGAGGATATCAACACATTCCTTATGGCAGAATTGTGTATGCTGGCATCTGTGGTAGAAGGGTATAGTATGCTTGTGTCTGTGGCTGGAGGACGTGTATTATGCTAATGTCTGGAGGTCGTGTACTATGCTTATGTCTGTAGCTGGAGGTCGTGTAATATGCTTATGTCTGTCCCTGGAGGACGTGTACTATGACTATACCTGTGGTTGGAGGACGTGTACTATGCTTATGTCTGTGGCTGGAGGTTGTGGTAGGCGTGCGTCTGTTGCTCAAGGGTTTAGTAGGCTCGTGTCAGTGGCTGTATGGCGAAGTATACAGCTGCCGAGGCAGAAGAGTGTTGTAGGTTGTCTGTGGCAGGAAAATGTAATTGAGGTGACCACAGAAGTCACTGAACACGTGTCCTTTAAGTATTTGTTTACGTCTTGCCACTATTACCAACACCAAAATATCAACTATCATCTAATTCATATATATTCATTTGATATTTTATTAAATAATTTGAAGATATACTTAAAGTTATTTTTTATATCACGGCAACTAAATTTTTTTTAATCATAATATATGGAGGCTATGGATTTCATGTAATATCATAACCTCTGATTGCAGAAACGGTGAAATAGTTTTGTATTATTAAATTTATCATCCTTATTTTTGTCAATATATTATTCTAATCTACGATATTTTCAAGCCATGTTAGAGTTTTATCAATATATTGTTAAGATAATAGCAGGAAATTACATGGCATCGCTGAATCAGACAGCTGATATTAACGTCGTCTGCAATTGGCGCCACATATTGAAATTCATAGAAATATTAACATGCATAGTTTATTGATAATAATTTTAATCATCTATGTAATATTTCGGAATGTATAGATAGGCATATAATAATTTCCGGGATGAAAGAATAAGTAAAAATATGCCCTTTATGTCCTTGACTCTCTCCCTCTCCCCGTGGTAGCTATAGACTATCAAAATTCTCTAAAATGGCAGCTCAAGACTCCTTAAGGGACGTTGATCCTCCTGTAGAGCTGGGCGAGAAACTAACTCAAATTATCACTTGTAAGACACAGTTTTGGGAAATGATTCTTACTAACTTTTTAAGTTTCTTTCTATTGCAAAGTAAATGAGTTAAAACATATGAAACTGACTCGAGATATACAAATTTTGATCACATTATGTATTATAAAGACTTGAATCCACGACCTGAATCGTTTCAAGAAGAGTGTCGAAAAGCCGTAACGATGCTCTACACCTCCGAGACTTCAGACGTTTTAAAGTGTTATATTATCTCAGCTGAGACTGAGTTGAGGACTAGGATGATAAGGTTACACACGTCTCTCATAATATAAGTAAACATGAGGAGCAGGAGCAACTCTGGCGTAAGGCTTGACTACTATCATCGCATAGTATACCGGACTATCCTAAGACATCAAGTAAGGCTATTGCCATTTTAATAGTTCAATTGTAAGGAGGACTAAAACCCATCGGCTTAGACGTATTTTTGGTAGGGCAAAATTCCACTATTAATAACCTACGTTATTTTATTTTGTAAAAGTTGTTTTAAAGCAAATTGCTTACTTGGGGTGCATATTAATATTACCTAATTTATTGCTTATGTAAATAAGACGAAAACCTTACCTAACTAGACAATTGATTTGGCTTTTTGTATGTTAATCGGTTTCCAACTACGTATAATAATAATAATAATAATTATAATATCGCTAATAATAATAATGTCAGTACTTCAGGCAGGACGAAAAGCTGATCATTTAGGAAACAAATTAAAAAGAGAAGGGACAAAGTATATAAATATATATACACAAGTCAATTTGGCTAAATCACAAAGCCAACCCTCTATGTGGCAGTCAAGATTTGGCAAAGTCTCCCCCCCCTATCCCCCTTACAATTTGTTTCTTTAAAATCAGTAATAATTGACTCAGGATTTTTCATATAACGACACAGAGGCAGAGCACAAAGTTGTTGGTAAAGTATGTGAGAGGTGTCGGTGTAGTACGTACTGGATTGTCGTTTTACAAAGTAAAACTTCTGTTTACATTTTGTATAAGAATGACCAGGTACTGTACTGCTAATATGTATGCTTGCAACATTGGTGTATTTATAACTATATCAGATTTAGATTTGTACTGTAATATTTTTAGGATGCGGTGACTGGACTCCTGCCGGCTAGCAATGAAAACCACCATGCTTGGGTTCGTGATAACCTTTATTCCATATTGGCTGTTTGGGGGTTATCCATGGCATACAAAAAGAATGCAGATCTGGATGAAGATAGGGCTAAAACCTATGAACTTGAACAGGTATGTTGTAGATAAGATTATTCGTGTGCAAGTATGGAAATAGTGAGTAGTCTCCCTTGGAAAACTAAAGAAAACAAACAAATTGATTCAAATTGGGTGGGGGGTGTAAGGATGCTGGCATATGTTTGGTGTTGACATTTGGTATATTACAGATAGAAAAGCCATGGTAGAGAGTTCCTGTTTTAGAGAATAAGAACACAGTTCTCAGTGACTTGGATTTCACTTGGTTTACAGAGAGTAATACACAATAACCTAAAGGTCCAGGGCAGACCAAAACCTTGTCACAACTTTCTTGGCATGTGTGTTTGTTGAATGTTCAATTATTGTAGTTTGATACAGCAAATTAATAAGGTGTGAATATTCCCCACACCTTCAGAGGATTATGAGTTCAGAATACAGTCAAATGAAATGCATTTCATGCAAAGGTGCAAGTTAGGACTTTTAAAATATATTTGAAAGAATATTTTATGTACTGTATTTATATCACTCCATTTCAGAGTTGCGTAAAGTTGATGCGTGGGCTCCTGACGTGTATGATGCAGCAAAAGGACAAGGTTGAGAAATTTAAGCATACTCAAGCACCTATTGATTCTCTTCATGCCAAGTATTCGTCTAAGACTGGTCAAGCTGTAGTGAGGGATAATGAGTGGGGTCACTTGCAGATTGATGCTACATCTTTATTCTTACTTGTTTTAGCTCAAATGACAGCTTCTGGTAAGTCCATCACAAAGCTTCAAACATTTGTTCTAAGAAGTTTTGTTATAATTTATATTAATATCAAGTGCGAGATGAAATTATGAGTATTAATAAGTTGGTTTTCTCTTGCAGGGTTACAGATTATTTTCAACCTAGATGAGGTTTCCTTCATACAGAATTTGGTCTTCTATATTGAGTCAGCATACTGTATCCCAGTAAGTGAGATGTATATTTACGCTTTTTCAATAAATGTGTACAGTACTGTATATGGAATTACATGTGTAGTATATGGAATTAGAGGCTTCAGTGTCCCAGTTATGCTAAGCATAACTTGGGGCTTTATAAAGACATTAAATTCTAGATACTTGCACCACTATTTAACATTATCTTACAAACTGTTCTTTTAAAAATGATGTTTTATTTTTTAGTTTTTGTTGATATTAAGAATTATGCACTCGGTGTATATTGTAAACAAATATTATAGTAGTGTCGACCAATACTGGCCAATCACTGTTGACAGGCCAACTGCACTTAAAAAGCCTATAGCACGTGCATTATTGGATATAATAAAGTCATAATGCCAAGAACTTTTTAAATATATTCAAATACATGTTGAAAGGTAGCACAAAGGAAATTTGAATTATCGTTGTTTCATTTTCATGCTGATTTATAGCCCTTAAACTGTAGGATGACTGGTAGACAGAAATGTGTGTTATGGGTAAAAGTCGAGGCATTGAGGCTTGTACCATAGGAAACAGTCAGTATCCTTCCATCAAAGCCAAGTTCTGTACTGTACTTGTACAGCACTGTATATTCAAATTAATTGAAAATGCCACCAAAACTTTTTGAAAGTATATACTACCTTGCATATTAATATCTGATCTTATATTCGGAAGTTTCCAAGGAATGAGCAAATAATAATTAATTTGTTGTTGGGGGGACAGGAAGTCAAGAGTGTGTTCATATACGTTTTGGCTTTTATCAAGTTCCCCCCTTCCCAAGGACGAATTACTGACCCCCTCCCCCATCGAGGATGCAACCCCACAGCAAGCTGACTAACTCCTGAGTACCTACTCACTGCTAGGTGAACAGAGGCATTAGGTGAAAGGAAATGTGCCCAACCATTTTTGTTCCACCCGGGATTCGAATCCGGAATTCTCAATTGTGCATCAAGAACACGATCCCGACTCTACTTCAGGGACCCAAAGCATAACGGGGGGACGTGGCTGATTTTAGTGTCTAACTAGGGCATTGAATTGGCCAGTGCCAGGGCTCGGGTATAATGATACATGTAGTGTCATAGTATTTAAGCTGATTACTATATATACTTTTTTTTTTTTATATTTCAGGATTATGGGATATGGGAACGAGGAGACAAGACTAACCATGGGCTACCAGAGTTGAATGCCTCCAGTATTGGCCTTGCCAAAGCTGCATTGGAGGCTATGAATGAACTTGATTTGTTTGGTGCTCGTGGTGGCCCAGCGAGCGTCATCCATGTTTTAGCTGACGAGGCTCAGAAGTGCCAAGCTGTGCTGCAGGTGTGCGCTGTAACTTCGTCTTGAAAAACAAATTGCCGTGACATTTAAAATGATTCTTATTATACAAATACAAGAAGGCAAAAATTATATATTATGGCTAGATGTTTTAATATTTGTCATTGCTGGGCTGCTTTGGAAATTTTGTTATATATGATCACTATTTGATGTAATTTTCACTTGATTGTCTACTGAGCTTTTTAGTCCACATATCAATAGCCATTCAATGTTACTGAAATAAATTATTAGAAATTACCAGAGGTAGTAATTATATACTGAGCAACTTTGTACTCTGTAGAAGATATGAGGAATCATGAGCTAACGTTTGTGTTTAAACCTGCAGTCAATGCTACCACGTGAGAGTACCAGCAAGGAGGTGGACAGCAGTCTTCTTGCTGTGGTCAGCTTTCCAGCATTTGCTGTAGATGACCCTTTGCTTATTAAGACAACTAAAATGACTATACAGAACAAGTTACAAGGCCGTTATGGATGTAAGAGATTCTTGAGGGATGGTTATAAGACTGCTAAAGAGGTAAGTTTGGGGAAGTGTAGATTTTCAGATTGGAGAAATGGGAGATACATGTCTTTATGTATATCCATCAACTGTAGTCAGACCTTGGTTTAGTTAAGTCGGCAACCTGTTCTGAAACTTATAATAATTTGTTTTGTCAGGGAAAGAAAGCCTTTGTTTATATGTTTGTGTAATTACCCAAGTGTAGTTACAGGATGAGAGCTACACTCGTGGTGTCCCATCTTCCCAGCACACTTTCATGTAATGCTTTGAAACTAGTGACAGTTTTGACCTCCTCCACCTTCTCACTTAACTTGTTCCAACCATTTACCACTCTTTGCAACAGTGAATGTTCTTATATTTCCTTGGCAGCTTTGTTCAGTTTAAATCTTTGACCATCTGCTTTTGAAGTTCCAGGTCTCAATAATTCTTCCATATTGATTTTATTATTCCTGTTCCTATTTTGCATGTAGTGATCATATCACCTCTTTCTTCTATTGTCTACCTTTGGCGTATTTAATGTTTCTGACTTCTCATAGCTCTTGTATTTCAGTTCCTAAAGTCATTTAGTTGCCTTTGTACCTTTTCCAGTTTATTTATATGCTTAAGATATGGGCACCATACAACTGTTGCATATTCCAACTTTGGTCTGGCAAAGGTCATGAACGATTTCTTTAGTATTCCACCATCGTGTATCTAAAACCAATTCTGAAATTGGAAAGCGTACCATAAGAACCTCGCAATGTTCTCTGTTCCTCGGGATAGCTTTTTTTAATCTAGAACCACCCCTAGATTTTTTATCTAAATTTTACAAAGCTTTTTCACATAATTTGTAGATATATAAAGAATATAAAATATAAATAAAATATACACACACATGCATTAGGCTTGTAATGAGGTCCCCTAAGACCAAACTACCGATCCTTCCCAGAATGCAACCCCAGAACAGTTGCCCAACTTCTAGATACCTAATTACTACTAGGTGAACATAGGTAAAAAGAAATGTGCCCAACCATTTGTCTCAATCAGGAATTGAACCGAGGAGCCATGATTGCAAGTTGAGAATGAAGTCAACTGCACTATTAGATAATATATACTCCATGTACACCATCATAGAGAACTACTACCACACACCTTTAAATAAGCCTCTTGTGTTTTCAGATTCATCCATATTAAGTTTGAATGGGAAATATGATATAAATAGCTAATTTAAAACACTTTATTTTAAAATAATTTTGACTAACTTGATTTTTCCAACTCCTAGGATGGCAACCGGTTGTATTACGAACCATGGGAACTTAAGGTATTTGAGAAGATTGAATGTGAGTGGCCGCTCTTCTTCTGCTACTTTATCCTTGATTATTGTTTTCAAGGTGACGATGAGGCTGTTAAGGAGTATGCTGAAGCTCTTGAAGAGGTTTGTATAAATTTTATGCCTTACATAGTGTGATGGAAATTTTTTTAAATTAACAACAGTACCTACCTTCCTGTTGGGTAGATAGGTAGCCTTATATTGCATAAATACAACTAGCCATGTATTACATAAATACATTGGTTGCAAAAGTGAAAGGCACACTTTGAATGTTCTATTCAATTGTAGAATGTATTAGGAATGTATCCTATTTTTCCATAAATTCCCTAGGTAAATAATATGATAGCTTTAACACAAGGTGTCTTGAATGTTTCCTTGTATAAAAGTTGGAGGCGACTATTAATATACTTCATTAAATATATCTATTTTCCAGTTATTGGTAACCACAGACGATGGCTTAAGGCTTGTGCCAGAGATCTACTCGGTGCCTGCTGAGAAGGTGGATGCAGAGTACCTTGAGCCAGGGTCACAAGATCGTGTAGCTGTAGGCAAATTACCTTTTATGTGGGCTCAAAGTCTTTACATCATGGGTAGACTCCTCCAAGATGTAAGAACAATATAATTCATTTTTCCTAACTAAAATGAGGTTTAAAATAAATTAATGTTACATAAACACAGACAACTGGCCACCCAACCCACAAATCTAAAGATGAAGGAAGTGATGACATTTCAGTCCAGGATGGACAGAAATGTAGACAACAGACAAGTAATTTGACAAAGGGCAACTAAAAAATTCTCCTGTTTTATATTAATGATATTATTTTATGTACCTAAATGGTTGTAAAAGAATTCTTTTAAAAATTGAAAGTCAGCGATAACTTTATTATGTGTCTTTTTTCATTTGAGTAGAGAAGGTTTTCAGAGAAAAACATTTGTACTTGACTTGCTTCCTTGAACATTTTTGTGTTGAACAAGACTAAATAGCATTAGCTTAGGATGAGTAACTTAACTGTTTGATAATTTTGAACAAGGCTAGGTGGTAGCAGTTTGTGAACAGTAAATTATATTGGGTTTGTTTGTACACGACAAGTGTGGAGGATTTGTTGGAGTATGTGGTGGTGCTTCCCTCCATGAAATGGGGTAGTAATGAGGATAATGATTGTGTGTAGAAGAGAATGACTTACATTCGAGAATTTATATTTTTTTGTGAATTTGTTTATAAAAATATTATTTGCAGAAGTTCTTGGCATGTGGCGAGTTGGATCCTCTTAATCGTCGTCTGGGCTCTGAGAAGAAGCCAGATGTGGTCGTGCAGGTGGTGGTATTGGCTGAAGATTCCAGCATTCAGGCCAAGCTCCAGGCTCTTGATATTCAGGTGCAGACCATTACTGAAGTGGCACCCATTGAAGTTCAGCCAGCCAGAGTGTTGTCAAAGTTATATGCTCATCTTGGTAAGTGGCAAGCACAGAAAGAAGTGTGAAAAGGTAATATTTCATGTTTATATAATTGATACATAGTTCTCATGACATTTATTACCTTCAATTTGTATTGAATTTTACTTCAGACATTTCCTTTAGAATTCATGTAATTAAAGTCCATTCTTACAATTTGATAAGCATCCAATCTGTTCTTTTCAATACATAAGTATGTTAAACAATGCCAACCCACCTAACCTATTGAGAATAATTCCTGTTTGGAAAAAGTACACATTTCCAATTCTTAAATCCTACTATTGTGAATCTGTTTGTATTTGATACTATTTTGAAACCAACTCTTGCTAGCCTTGAGAAGTCTCTTCTTTTGATGTTGGAACTTGCTCTTAAACTAAGGTTTTATATATTCTTAAGGCCTAGCAGAAATTACATTCAAATTACCGGTAAGCGACACCCTCTTCTGAATCTGCGCTTCCACCCAAGTTGTCAGTAATTTTTTATTTGCACAATATGATTCCTCATCCTTGATATCTTCTGAAAAATTAGTGTACTTGACCAGGCTGGAAACCTTTGAAGTTTCATTTGCATTGTCACCATTAATTTGTTACTTTTTTGGGGGCACTGTTCAAAACGGGAGGTGCTAGATGTTTTCTAGTTGTTGTGTTGAAGAAAGTAATCCAAAAGGTTAGTAAAATATAAGGAATGAGTGAGGAATCACAAGATCCAGATGGTATTCGAAGGAGTCTGCATACGCTGATTTAAACACACGTGAAGTGTGGCACAGAGCATAGTGCAGTTTACTCACTGTGTCAGCATGATTCACTTGAGACCTTACCCATTTAAAGTAAGAGTTTGCATGAACATTTCATAATATAGTCTGGTGTTCAAGTACACAGTTGGACCTTACATGTAGACATTACATGTGGAAACTGCTAAATTATATGGTTCATAGTTTTTCACAATCTCAACCTCATTTTTAATTTGTGTCTACTGTATTTTAATATAGATTTTCTTGTATTTGTAGGCCGTAACCAGAAGCTTGGGCTTTCAGGACGTCAGAGCCGTGATGTGGGTATTCTCTCCACCAGTAAACTTTATTCTCTTCAAGACAGAATCTTTGCATTTACTCCTCAGGTAAGTTATGAATCTATGTTGGGGTTCATATGGCTTGATTTGCAAAGTATTTGCAAAACGTCTAAAATAATCTGATTATTTTTATGATATATAAAGTTTGATGATTTAAGGTTTCTATTTACATTAACATTGTAATGTAATACATTTATAATAAGTGTGATGCAAATTAGGGGGACAGTTTTTGTGACAATTCCAACTACAGTATTAGATATTTTTCTTGCTTGGGTTAATACAAATATTTTGGTATATATTTCCAAAATTTTCTTTAAAATTTAGTGAAGATGAATTTTAACCTCGTATCTTAATTAACATAAAAGTTTCCGTAAAGTTTATAAATATAATTGAAATGTATAGAATATTCTGTTTAATAAATTTTTAGTTTTGTCTCAATGTTTCCTTTTGTACAAGAGCATTCAATCAAACACTTCGTCTGTATTTATTTATTTATTTATTTATTTTATTTATATATATGTATACAAGCAGGTACATTGTTTGAGAGTACATTGCATTGACGTTTTTACATACTTGCAAAGCCACTAACACGCATAGCGTTTCAGGCATTATTATATTTTTAATAATATATCTTCTCATTCCACATGTTAAAGAGGTTTATGAAAAGAATTTGTAAGGTGGAATACTATGTATACTATAATAGCAAAGCTTAAGCCAACTTCTGGTTTATTAATAGCTCTTATCCAATAGTTTTGGCGTTCTTGATACAGTTAATAATTTATCCTACAAGTCGGTGATATATTTTTGAAGCTGTATACATAATTACTTTTGAAGAGTCTGCACCATAACTGTATTTAAGTTAATGCAATAACATCTGGATATCTTTTGATTGCTTTTACAACTAATTGAATGGCACTCATGTGGTCACCGTACTTGCTTCATCATACTTTATATATTTGCAAATTAGGAAGGCGGTGGTAAGAATTAAGTTTTAAGGACAGAATTATAATCATTCTAAAGCAGTGGTTCTCAAATTCCCAAATCACATTCTTCCCATAGCAGTCATAGGCTCTTCCAAAATCCTCTCCATCATAAAATAAGTAATTTGCAACATAAATAGTCCTCCCCAAATTTCCACTACCACCACCTGGATAAATTTTCTTCCCTTACATTTGAAATTCCTCTCTTGGGGATCCAGGTGGCCCCCCTTTTTTTTTTAAGAAGCCTTTTTATATAGATTCAAAATTATTACCTTATTTATTTTTATTTGAGAATTTGGTGACTACAATTATTGTACTCCTGATTTTCTCATTTTCTATAAATTTGAATTATATATATGAATGAATAGACTATTTCAACAAATGTTGGATCTGATATTTTTTTCAGATGAATTTTTTATCGATACTGTTGATAGTCAACTTTGAATTCAAGTGATTACCTAGCAGAATATTTGAAGTGTTTTGTATTAAATCAGACTTTACAAAATTTTGTAATTTGGAGCTCAATATTAAAATACAAAAAAAAAAATATTGTATATACATGTACAGTGCATCAGTGATTGTTAGTTCCCTTGTATACCTTGTGCTATGGCCACAATAGTCACACTCAGTTTTATAGGTATATGTTACAGAAACATGTGTTATATACTAATAAGAGTATAAGTATATTGCCGGAAGTATAAGAAATATTGCCGGATCAACCGTAGACATCAAGAGAAAATATAGTTTTCTTCAAGAAGTGCCAGACCAACCGGTCTGTGGTGGATATGTGGGACTGTGGGCTGCTCCAAGCAACAGCCTGTTGGACCAAGCTCTCACAAGTCAGAAGTAGGGGGAGTAGAACAACTCCCAGAACCCCAACAAGCAGGTATCAAGCAGAAAATGGTTGCAACAGTGGTACTGTACTCGTAGAAGTAATGCATCTGAATGATGTAATGGCATATGAATTTGATGGTCATATAGAAATTCTGTTGCATTTTGGGGATATAATATTACACAATATAATAAAGCATAAAAAATGAATTTGTGGCTAATCAGATAACATATTAATTTCACAGTATGTCATTAACGTTCATGTTTACAGATTTCATAGATATCACATAGCTTCATCTGAAGAAACAATGTTTAATTGCATTTGTAAACAGTTAGGTTAAAGTACCATAACAGACAAGATTTTAGAATTTGGTTGTTATATTGTCAGGCAGTGTGTGTGCAGTACATATATATGTGCAGTACAGAAGTTACATCTGCTTAACATCAAACTAGAGGGTTTTAATAGCGATACAAGACTATGAAATTAGGTTATAAAATAGTACTGATGTGTAGTTTCCTATGCACCTGTAATTTGCAAGATGTGATAAATCTGTGAAAAATATTAAAGTTGTATAATGGAATTGAAGCTGCATCCTTTTGTGTGTACTCTCCTAGTTGTGCTTTGACTCTTTGATCCTGCCTCTCAACAGTCGGGCAACTGGTGTACAGATTCCCGAGCCTATTGGGCTCAATCATATCTACATACGAAACGGTGTATAGAGTCTGTCTCCACTGTGAGTGTGAGAGGAGTTCAGGGATGTGGGTTTGATCCCATCAATCAACTTTATTATTTTCTCACGGTATCATATGCTTTTAAGTTTGGTCCAGTAACCAGTTTAATTTTCTTGAAAGAAAGAACCTCTTCCAACTAGTGGGTTTTAGGTTTGAAAATTCACTTGGCTTCATGTGTGTATAGTATTTCTTTATTTTTTTAGGCAGATGTGTAATATACATTACCTTTTTTCTATGTGACCTCTTTCAGTTTGTAGATCGCCAACGGTTCTTCATAGCCTCCGACTTGGACCTTCTTTTAGATATTTTCAAAACAGAGCTCAACTTCTTGCAATGTACCTGGAAGCACATGTTGGGCCGACCTATAGTTACATTGGAGTTAAATCAGAGCTTTCTAGGTAACACAGATGTTTAACTCGCTCCTTCACCTTAGCATTGTGCCCTCCCTGCATTTTGTAGCTGTAATCTGGTAGCCATCAGATTGCTGAGACTTTTTGACTCAGTAAAGGTATGCATATTTTGCTGCATGTCAAGATAACAAGACAACCATATATATATAGTATATAAAATAAATATATAGACAACCATATATATATATATATACTGTATATATCCGGTATATATATATATATATATATATATATATATATATATATATATATATATATATATATATATATATATATATATATATATATATATATATATATATATATATATATATATATATATATATATATATATATATATATATATATATATATATATATAATAAATAAATTAATTTTAAATTTGTCTCAAAGAATCATGCAAGGTACAATGATGACAGATTATACAGCATTAACCAATTACTGGATGTTTTCCATTGTGTGTGGTACCCAACCACTTGGACTGGTCGGTATGGCAATGGCCTTGCTTCTTGCAGGTTGGTGTTTCATTCCCGACAGTCTGAGTAGTGGGGCATTATTTCTTCCCGCTTTCTTATCCCAGATCCTTGTCTCCTTATATCCCTTGTAAGTGCTATATAGCCTTGCTGGCTTGGTGTTTTCTCCTGATATTTACCTTACCATTATGTGCTGTTGTCGATCGTATCCTGGTCATAGATTTCAGTTGAAAGTTTGTTTAAAGTAGGTTTGAGCAGTCTGATACTTGTGTTTTGTGTTTGTAGATTGTTTCAGGTATTGCATGCATATAAGCATATGAATACAATTATGTATATGTGAATTAATTTGAGTGAAATGAGTATTTCTGTAGTTTTGACTAGTAGTAAAACTACTAATAGAAGGTGAGTATGATTTACTTGAGAATATTCTTAAGTTGTTTTGTCAATGTACAATAATTGTTGATGGTAGTCTTGTCAAATATTATTGTATATTGTTAAAATGTACATGCTTTTATTTTAGTGTCTGCATCCATGTGCATCAGCTGTGATTCATAATATTCCGTGATTAAATTGACTTGTCCATTCATAAAGCATGGATCCGGTATACAGTATTCAATTTCTGCCTGTTATTTGGCCTTTATTTTCTGTAAGAAATAGGTAATCTTTTCTTTATTTTCCATAAAAAATGGCAGTGTCAAACGGAGATCAGCCCATCATTTTGCCCAGCTATTTAACTTGCGTATATATAGTGAAGTGGAAGATTTAGCATCTTTTCTGTTCTAATGTTTTATTATTATTCATCATGCTAACCAAGTTAATCTGTGAGGCAAGATGTTTACTTTTCATTCATGTCTTTCTATGTGAAGTATTTGCATATTTGTTAAATCTTTGATCCTTGCAATCTTTCAAACTCCTGTATGCATGGTTTTCTTTTAGTAAATTTTCCTTGTAATGCATAGTTATTGGCTGGCTGTCCCAAACATTGGATTCATTTTCCATCTGAGAAAAGTGATAAGCAGCAGGTAAAAATGCATGCATAAATGAAAGGCTATGCATAAGAGACTGGACAAATAAGAGACAGACTTGAGGAATAAAACTTCGACTGAAGAAAATGCAATATCACAAGTTATAAACTTCAGAGTTTTGGATGTAACATTGCAAGGTTTCCAATGTGGTAAAATCAAACAAACCAAACCATTAGAAAAGAGGTGACTGGAGAGCAAATCCTACTCCCCCGTAAGTGCTGATCACTGTTAATTTAAATCTCAATTTAGTTCTTGGTATGTTTCTCACATTGGCTTCCTGAATTATATGTTGGATTTTATTTCATCGTTTTATGCCCCAACCATGCTAAATAGTTCTCTAGAGTTTTGTGCTTACTTTTGATGGTGATAACTAAACTATTATCTTGGTATGATAGATTTGCTAACAAGGAAAAAATGTGAAGAAAAATATATTTCTTGAATGCAGTTTTTATAACGAGAAATAATTCAGTGGAAGGTCATTAATTTATTGTGTGTAACTAGAAATATTTGCATTGTAATATTAAATTTGGCTAATGACCGGACAACATTTTTTAAATCCAGGTGCCATTTCGGGAGTAATTTCAGTGAGATAGAAAA